CACCACTGAAAGTCAGACCTTCAGCGGCGACCATAAAATGTCATCGCTGAAAGTGAACCCAGTGATTACATCACCTTCCGCTCAAAGGTGTACCTTCAGCGGCGACATTTTAATGTCGCCGCTGAAAGTCAAACCTTCAGCAATGACATTAATAGTCGCTGCTGAAATTATACTTTTAGTGGCGACCATAGAATGTCACCGCTAAAAGTGAACCCAATGATTACATCATCTTCTGCTCAAAGGTATACTTTCAGCGGTGACTTTTTGGTGTCGCCGTCGAAAGTCGTCGTTTAAAGTCTTTTTTTTTTGTGGTGATGATAAAAAAGGAAAAAGAGAGAGGATTACATGCAATATAATTTAACCTAATTTTCTTGAAGTTTGCAGAATAATGAAATAATCTCGCAATAAAATTTAATTAATAAAAATGACTATGAATTTCTTAAATTTGATTTCTCGTGTGTGCGCGCGCACACACAAAATATTCTGCAAGTAACTTCATATATATTCTCATTTGAAATATATCTGGTTTTGAAAATTCGAAATATATAATAGATTGTGGGTGTACTATGTAGATATTATAAGGAGGGATCTCTTGTGTGGTGTTTATATGTCGAACATCAAGCACCGCTACTTTATTTCTTTGGAGATATTATTATATGCCATCAGACTCTGCTAGTTGGATTCCTTGTCATTAAAACAGTCAAAGTCGTTTGTGGGAAAAAAATAAAAGAAACGATATGGTTTTGGACATCTGACCTCAAAGCACTCAGATCAAATATGTTGATTAATTTATAGTAGTAAGATGCATGTTTATTAGCACTTTTACATTAAATTATATCTTTTCTCCATTAGAGTTCATTTGTTAATTATGATTCCTTGTCGGAACATAACTTTGTCTGAAATAAGGACTAATATTTTCGTGAAAGTAGATTTGGATAAGATTTTGATTTGATGAGGAATATATATGCACTGCTATTGAGTGGGAGTGTGACTGTTTAAAGAACTTGTTGATTTTACACACTTTGAGTATGTGATGTTGGATTTTCTAGGTGGATTCTCTCTCTCTCTCTCTCTCTCTCTCTCAAGACCAAAACTATGTTGGAAATCTTAAATTATGTTATGTTTCATTAAAAAGAGCCTAGTGAGGACTGAATAATAATGGGTAGGTCAGTCTAGTAGAATTTCATAATTACATAAAAGAGGTTTATAATCTTTACCTATTTCGTCTTCTCATACTTGAGTACAAGTTGAGTCTTGTTTACCTGTGAAGAAAATATATTTTTTTGAGTCTTGTTTACCTGTGAAGAAAATATATATTTTTAGACTATTTTCTTTTGGACTTTTCAAATCGGTTCTTGTTTTGATATAAAAACAAAAGATATAAAAAGTATACCTTTCTAAATCATTTGTGATTAAAGTTGATCTAAAAGTAATGTAGAGCTGGAAGGGTAAGCATTATATGCCGAGTTTTGGTTCTAAAAGCTCAAAAATATAAGTTTGAATTAAATAGGCCACTAATCCTAATTAAGCAGGAGTCCTTAAGTCTTTGAAGTGCCATGAAAAAAAATAGAATACTAATTCAAAGATCAAAATACAAATTTTAATTTATGAACCTCATCAACCGTAGTTTCAAGTGCACACTCAAAAGGTAGAAAATACGGACATGGCCGAAAGGAAGAACAGAAGAATTGGTAAGGAGAGAAGGGCACATAGAGAAACAAGGGAGGCAATTTCAACTAATATTATTATCCAGGCGTATAAAGTAAGGCATGTCAAAGGACTATAGAATCTATTCAACTAATTTAGTTTGATTTTTGGGAACTGATGTTAAAAAAAGAAAAAAGTCCACTTCTTAGATGAATTGTAAAGATATAAAACGTCTATGCTTAAGCGTAAAAGTTGAGTTTTGTAGTTTTACTTTGTACCTTAGATTTTTTTAATCAAGCTGTTGATAATTATGTTTTTAAGGGAATGAATGGCTAAGATTATTATTAATCTGTTATAATTTACTTTGTTTGTCTTAAATATAAAACACATTCTATAGTGTAATTTACACTACAAAATAGGTTTTACGTTTAGCACAGAAGGAGTATTAACTCCCTTTGGACTTGTTTTCCTGTGTAGTTTTTTCTTTTATTAATGATGCATTGTTCTGTAAGAATACAAATATTAAAGAATGCGCTCAGTGCTGAAAATAACTTAGTTTATATGAAACTGAAATTTTTTTCCAATTTATCAAATTCATTCTCTTTCATCCAGCTGTTAACCATACAGTAGAGCAGGAAATTAAAAACGCAATCAAAAACCTAAATTGATACACTTCTGGTTCTATTTATAGAACAGAAAGAAGATATTTTTTGTCATATTTATAGGGTGTTGAGAAAATTTTTTTTATGAATGTACAATTTTTCTTTTCATTTATTATTGTGTTAACTTTGTTTAGATGAAGTATAATGTATATTAAACAGGAATAAAATAAGAAAGTTATTGAATTTTAAATAAGAATTAATAAAGTTTAAGGTTTTTCTTAATTTATATGAAACATGTTAAAAGTAATTTATAAATAAGATCATACGAGTACGAGTACGTTATTACGTACATGTTCGATGAAAGCGTACATCATAATTAAATTAGGTAGGTTCTCGTGTGAACATTTTAGAACACTACATCACTTGCTTCTAGTGGCAAGTAATTCTCCGACAGGACTCCATAATAGAACTCATCTGATGAACAATGATGGACACTATTATCCCCCTCAGCAGCACAAAGGCTCCATGCATCCATCATCTCTTCATCGAATATTATTGATGATGATGATGGGGATCTAGCAGAGACCACTTCTATATCCTCCCAAGAAGATATCAATGAGGTGGAGCAATCCTGACCCTCCACCTGTCCCACCTCAATATCGTAGCTCTGGTAAGGAGCAGCAGAGCTACTCGTAGAATTGATCTCTGCCTCCAGTGATTGAATCATATTCATAAGCCTATCTTCTTCACAGTACTGATCTTCCTGTGTTTCTTCCAGTAAAGCTTTGATAAGGATGTTGTTGGCCTCAAAGAACTCAAGTCCTTCACACACACTCTCAGGCATTGTAGGAGATGAAGAAGAAGAAGCAGCAGCCATGGAGCAGTTAACTGTACCTTCTTGGTTTTTCTCTCTGCTCTGGGGAATAGCTGAAGTGTGAGAGAGAGAGAGAGAGAGATCAAAGCAAAGGAAGAACTGAACAAGGCACAGAATGGCTTTGAGAGGCGAAGGGGATGAATCTTTATATAGGCAAATTACATACAGTAGTATCATATGATTAGACTAGAGTGGCCTCCATGGGCCCACCTATCATGTGTTTCTAATTCATTATTAGCAGATATATATGTATATATATATATATATATATATATATATGATCTTTAATTAATTAACCAGATAATATATCTCAACGAAGAAGTGGGATTTGTGTAGATATGTTTAATAATTAAGTACAACAGATCTAAAAACGAATCAATTTGGTTAATTATTTTTCATTGTCAAATATATCTGTCATATATTATTAGTCCTTAGTTAAATTAGTAGATACGTTTTGTTTCTGTCACTAAAAGTAAGTTCACAAACAGAATTTTAAATGAAAGGAATTATTAGTGGGAAAGAATATTTGTTCGTTTATATTCTCCATAACCATCAGTTCAACTGCAGAATCTGACGATCGTTTTCATTTCTGTCAAAGAGATGCCTCTTTTTCAAGACAACAATTTCTTTGTATATTAATTAATACACATATAAAACTAAAGTTGAATATGACTAATTAATAATGTACTAAATTATGAGCTTAATTATTTCATAAAGAAAATGATATATAAGAGATATGTCCCATCGATGGTGAATTGAGCTGCAACAAAAGGGAACAATTCCAGGTGGCTCACACAGCATCCGATAATTATTAATATTATTGATTAAGTAATAGTGGGACAATATAATTACTGTGGTTTGGGAAATAATATTAATGCGATGTGATAATTCAGTTGTTCATTTGGTGGGGTAGTGGACAACTATGTCTCAAATCTTATTGTAAGAATCATGATCATGTTCCATCAACACAGTGCATGTGCAAAGGATGGTTTATGATCATTCGTGGTTGTTTATTTGTTGGAAAAATTAGGTTTGGAAGCTTTCCATTTTAAAATGAGTTTAAATTGCGTAAAATCTGCCTAAATTTTGAGTGTTATATGCAAAATCTTCAAAAACAAAAATTATGTGCACATAGCTAAACTTACATTGTATATGGCTGAAGAAGAGTTACACCTACTCAGATTCAAATCTTTTTAGACAATAAAATTTTTAAAAATATACTTTTAACAAAAGTTTCTGTATTTTTAACCAAGGTTGACTTAACTTTGACTGTTAAGAATGACAAAATTGGGCAGGTTTTAAAATATTATAATAAGCAATATTGTTTCACAATTTTTTAGAGTACCCACAGCTTGTTCAAGAATACTTTCGGACCAAAAAAAAAAAACACCTTATCGCAACTTTAAATCATATGTAGAAAGTCATGGAAAATGTTATATAACAAACTAACAACAAAGGAGGTAGAACAAAAAGAAATTAAAAGAAGACAGCCCACAAAGAGGAGTATGAGCAATGAAGTCAATGTGGGTGACATTCAAAAACTTAAAATGTTTAATGAAGTTTTGTTGTCTGGTTTTAAAAGCAGAGAAATTATTTCCACAGCCAAAAACTTTAAGGGATTATGTACAACTTAACCTTATTTAATTTGACATAAGATTTCTACTAACATTAGTAGTTAAAAGTAATTATGAATTTGTCCTAATTAGGAGTTTTGATTGCAACAAACACTAAATTATAGTTTAAAACATTTATTTCCCAGTTCATTCATGTGAGACCATAACTCACAACATTATTGAAGCTATGAGAGAGAAAAATAACGTTTAGAGGTTGGTAATCATGTCCAGGGTAATTGTGAAAAGTTTAATCTGTACGGCCAATTAGCTTCAAAGTGTATATATTTACATATATAAGGAGAAAGAATACATATTCTTTTTGGTACATATTGATTAAAATTCAAATTTCTCTAATTTCTTATGAACATGTCAGAACACTATATCACTAGTTTCCTGGGGAGAGCAATTCTCCAACAGAACTCCATAGCAGAAGTCACCATTATCATCCCCACCAGCAGCACAAAAGTTCCATGCATTCATCATTTCTTCATCAAATGAACATGATGGTGAAGAAGAAGAAGAATTAGCAGAGATAACTTCCATATCGTCCCCATGATCATGAGTACTGAATGATAGTGATGATGTGGAGCAATCCTGATCGTCCATCTGTCCCACCTCTATCTCATAGATCTGGTATGGATCGGCAGCACTGCTAGTAGTGGAAATGAGCTCCGCCTCCAATGATTGAATCATACTCATGAGCCTTTCATCTGCATAATACTGATCTTCCTGAGTTTCTTCCATTAAAGCCATGAGAAGGATGTTGTTGGACTCTGAGAACTCAAGTCCTTCACACACACTCTCAGTTGTTGAAGAAAAAGAAGATGATGATGATGTTGCAGACATGGGGTGAACTGTACCTTTTGATCTGTCTTTCTGGAAATTCTAGAGAGAGAGAGAGAGGCAATGGAAGAACTGAAGCAGAAGACACTGAATGGCTTTGAGAGGCGAAGAGAGTTCACTCTTTATATGGGCAAATCACATGGTACTGAAACATATATGATGTTGAGATTGGCTGTCAGAGACCCACTTGTCATGTGGTTCTAATTAATTAATATATATCTCAATGAAGAGGTGGGATTTGTAGATATTTTAATTAACTAACTGCATCAGATCCAAAAATTAATCAATATGTTAATTATTGTTCGTTGTCAAATATATTTGTTATCAATTTAGTTTACAACTGTTTAGACTAAAACAGTGGTTTTTGTTTTTGCTTTTTGTGTGTAGAGAATGAAACAATGTCTTGATCGTTGAATTAATAGGTACTAAATTTTTTCTATAGATATATTATGTTTTTTCCTCCAAAAATAAAATTCTAAAGTAAAAAAAATTCTATTAGTTGGAAATAATCTGCTTTTTAATTTTCTCCGGCGGCACAACCTTCACCAATCACCATATATATAGTCTCGTCAATTAATAATGCACTGAGTTAAGAGTTTAATTATTTCAGAAAGAAAATGATACATATAGAGATATGTTCAATAGATGTTGAACTGGCAAGCAACAAAGGGACACAAGTGCATGTGTGCATAATATAAAATAGTAGAAAGTTGGGCAACAAAGCATCCAATAATGGTTGGAAACAGTGGGGCATACACCAAATGTGACAACTAATTAATGACCAATATTAATTATTAATTAAGTAATATTGTGAAATTACTTTTGTTTTTGAAAAATAACATATCAATGTGATGTGATAATTCAGTTGTCTCGTTTGGTGGAGTGGACAACTATATATATTGTATATGTCTCATCAAATCTCTGATTATAAGAGTCATGTTCCAACAACACGAATGTGCAAGGAAATGATAATTCTTGGCTGTTTCTTTTGTTGCATAAAAGTTAGGTTTAAATAAAAGCTTCCATTTTGAAGCAAGTTTAAACTGTAGAAGATTCCCTAAATTGAGTCATATTTAGATATATCTATTTTTTAAATTAGATATTAGGTTATGAACAAATAAATACTCTAGTTGATTAAAATACTTTAAATCATTTGTGGATAGGTCCTGTAAAATGTTGCATAACAAATTAGTTGGCAGCGAAAAAGGAGCCAAATAGCCAAAAGAAAACAAAAGAGAAGAGAAACAAGAAGATAGCCCTATAGGAGGAAGAAGTAAGAACTAAGAACATTGAAGTCAATAACGTTGGTGATGGTAAGCCAAACTTTAAAATGTTTAAGAAATTAAGTTTTATTGTCTGGTTTTAAAAGCATGCAATTATTTTCACGTAATCTGAATTGTAATTAAATAACTATTTACTAATTGAGTCACACACACACACACATATGAGACTGCAAGATTGAAGCTATATAACAAGGGAAAATCCGTAAAAAAAAAGTTTAAATATATGAAATTTCTATTTAGGCAGCCAACACGTGAAAATGATACAGAAGGAAGTGAGGCATAAACTGACATTTTAAAATATTGTGAAATTACCCATATGCCCTTCAATGTTAGGTCCGAGTCACTCTAAGTTAAGCCAAGTCACATAGGATTAATCAATTTCCTTGATCATCCGAACCAGATAAGTGATCGGGACAACCGGGCCGGTCCGGTACTTGTAAATGTAAATTAGCTTCATAATGTTTACAATACAGATGCTACTCTAAGAAACACCACAATGAAACTGACCAGAATAATTACTACCTTATTTATCTGCACAATGACACTTTGGATTCAAATAATCAAATGGTGATATGGAATGGAAGAGATAACATCCATCATCCGATCATAATCATCAATGACTAATGACATGGAGTAATCCTGACCATTCGTCTCTCCCATCAATGCACAGGGTTGATGCTGATCTCTGCTTTAATAAATGATTGATTGATTCTTACTAGTTCATAGTGCTGATTATATATAATCATCAGTTTCTTCCGTTAAGATCATGAGAAAGCTTGCCACAGAGAACTCAAATCCTTCAAGCAAACTCTAAGTTCATTAGGAGGAAGCAATATTCTTCAAACTAGAGACGCAAAAAGACCTGTGTTCTGATATGTTTGAGGATATTTTTAGGTACATATTCTTTAAAATACAAATTTCTCTAATTTCTATGAACATCTCAGAACCCTTCGTCACTTGTTTCCTGGGGGAAGCAATTCTCCAACAGAACTCCATAGCAGAAGTGCCCATTATCATCCCAACCAGCAGCACAAAAGCTCCATGCATTCATCATTTCTTCATCAAATGAGCATGATGGTGAAGAAGAAGAACTAGCTGAGATAACTTCCATATTGTCCCAATGATCATCAGTACTGAATGATAGTGATGATGTGGAGCAATCCTGATCGTCCATCTGTCCCGCCTCCATCTCATAGCTCTGGTATGGATCAGCAGCACTGCCAGTAGTGGAACTGAGCTCCGCCTCCAATGATTGAATCATACTCATGAGCCTTTCATCTGCATAGTACTGATCTTCCTGAGTTTCTTCCATTAAAGCCATGAGAAGGATGTTGTTGGACTCTGAGAACTCAAGTCCTTCACACGCACTGATCTCAGGCATCGAAGAAAAAGAAGATGATGATGTTGCAGACATGGAGTTAACTGTACCTTTTGATCTTTCTTTCTGGAAATGGCTAAAGTGAGAGAGAGAGAGAGAGAGATAGAGAGGGATCAAAGAAAAGAAAGAACTGGTGAAGAAGACACTGAATGACTTTGAGAGGTGAGGAGAGTGCAATCTTTATATGGGAAAATTACATGGTACTCACATATGATGTTGGGATTCGCTGTCATAGGCCCACCCTTCATGTGGTTCTACTTAATTAGTGTATGTATAGATCCCAATGAAGAAGGTGGGATTTGTAGATATCTTTAACCAACTACAATTGTATCGTAACCTTTTTGAATAGAACAATGCTTTAATCCTTAAATTAATATATGCATTTTGTTGTCGTCTATAAAAATTTACAAGTGCTCAAGCAAAACCAAATTCATAAATTTTAAAACATTATTAGTGGGAAACAATATTTTTCTTTATTTAATTTTCTCTCACCGTATACAGCCTCATCCTGATATATATCTGATCTGCAGAATCAGATGATTGTTTACATATATTGTGGAGATGCGTATTTTACGAGTCAAAAAATTCTTGAGTTTGATTATTGCAAAAAGAAAATGTAAGAGAAAATGATGCATAAGAGATATGTCCCACCGATGTTTAATTGGTAAGCAACAAAGGGCACAAATCCAGGCGTGCATAATATAAAATAGTGGAAAGTTGGGTAACAAAAGCATCAAATAATGGCTGGGAATTGTGGGGCATACCCAATGGTGGGGACAACTAATGACCAATAATATCAATTATTAATTAATTAATTAATTACTAGTGTGATATAATTAATGCCTTTGTTTTGGAAAATAATGTGAAATGATATGACAATTCAGTTGTTCATTTGGTAGAGTGGACAACTATGTAAATGTCTCATATCTGATTGTAAGAATCATATGTTCCACCAACACACATGTGCAAGCATATGATAGTTCATATGGTTGCTTCTTTGTTGGAAAAATTAGGTTTAAAGACTTCCATTATAAAATAAATTCAAATTGCATAAGATCTCCTGAATTTTGAGTCAAATCTATATATCAAGCTCCATATAGGATTTAGGAGACAAAATGTTTTTAGGAGACTCTTTTATCATCTTTTGAATAGGATTTTCTCCTTTTTTTGGTTTACAGTCAAGATCGTTTCATTAAAAAAAAAAAAGTGATATGGTGGATGTTTAGCACATTTATGTTGCCATATAGGTGTAGATGTTACAAGGAAGTAACATAAATAATATTCTCCATTTATAATATAAGTACATGACACTACTACAAAATGAGAAATATTTGACGCTAGATACTTGACGGTTATAACACAAAACCGTCAAATATGATGTGGCAGAAGAAAACTTGACAGTTTTAAGAGGAACCGTCAAGTAATAGTAGTTGAGGGCATAATAATGTAAATTTTTGGTTTTGGTTACATTCATATGGCTGAATTGGTTTGAATGCTGGCCTGCATGGTTCTGTTGAATATACTCCTTTGTATGAGGTTTCAAAATTGCAGGGGGCCTGCTGGCATAGTAGGACCGATATTAAAAAAAATTCCCATAATACTTGACGATTATTGCTTAAAACCATCAAGTATTGTTATAATACTTGACGGTTCTAGCAGAAACCGTCAAGTATTGTACAATACTTGACGGTTTTAAGCAATAATCGTCAAGTATTGTTCACCATACTTGACGGTTCTCGTTATTTATACTTGACGGTTTCTAATTAAAACCGTCAATGTTTGTTCTCTAATAATTGACAGTTTTGATGTTAACTGTCAAGTACTTAAAGAAATAGTTTACAGTTTTTCTGAAAAATCGTCAATTGCTTGAATAATATATAATTGACGGTTCTTCATATAAAACCATCAAATATTATTGAAATATTTGACGGTTAATAACCGTCAAATATCTGAGGTTGAAATATATGATACCAGTATACTTGAGGATTTTTAACTGTCAAATATGACCCAAAATAACCATCAAGTATTTGTCATTCTGTAGTAGTGTGATTTAACTCTTTCACTTCGATAAAAAATATTAGTTAAAAGATAGTTATAGTAATAAATATGAAAATTTTGTATGATTTTCCAAATATATCATTAACAAAGTCAATTTTATATTAATTATAATGAACTAATTACTAACTAAGTTTAATTATATAGAAGGATAAAGTGGAGCTTACAATTAGGATCAAAGGTAGTACACATGATCATGAACTGTGACTCATCTCTTAGATTTTCTATAATACACAATAAAATATGTTTTGTTATAGATGGTGTAATGTAAAAGTTTTACTTCAATGCAACTCATCCAACTCATCAAACAGTAAAGAAAGAAATTAAAAAACGCAAAAGTTATATGAAGTTAGATTTCCATTCTAGGTTAATTTAAATTGTGTGTATAGAATACTCTATATGAAAATACATGTATTTTAAAGTGTATATAAGAGAAAGAAACAAGGAGAAATTTCTATTAAAAGCCTAATTAAAAAAGAATACCTCTCTGAATAAAAAAAAAAGTAAAATTTGGATTTTTACATGGTTGGTAAAATATACATCATTCGTTGATGTGTCCTTATTCAGTGTAATAATTTTCTCATCAACATCAAAATTAATCGAGGACAACAAACAATAACTGTATGCCATTATAAGTTAAACGGATAATACGGTGCAATTGTACTCTATCAAATATCAAATATAATCGAGAGAAAATATTTCCTATAATTATTACAATTGATATTACAATTACAATTCTGCATCTCCAGACGCTACCCAAGAAACTTCACAATAAAACTGATCAGAATAATAATCTTCATTCATATCTGCACAATAAGGACTCCCAGCATTCAAATCATCATCAAATGGTGATGATATGGAAGGGACAGCTTCCATATCCATGACCCAATCATAATCATCAGTGACTGATGATGACGCGGAGCAATCCTGACCATCCATCTGTTCCATCAACATAGGGTTTCTGCTGATCTCTGCTTCAAGTGACTGAATCATACTCACAAGTCTTTCATCTTCAAAGTTCTGGTAATGATCATCTTCCTGGGTTTCTTCCATTAAAGTCATGAGAAGGACATTGCTTGCCTCACAGAGCTCAAATCCTTCAAACACACTCTCAATTGATGATGATGATTTTGAGCAAGCCATATTCTTCTCAGTTCTTAGAGAGAGAATAAAAAGATCAAGGAAATATCAGAAAGTGAGGGAACATAAGTAAGCTGCGAGGAAGAGAGGAAGACACTGAGAATTCTTGGGGTTTGAAGTTGGAGAAGAGAGTGAAGCCATTATATAGGCAAATTAAATGGTGCAATAACATGTGGTGGGGTTGCTGAAGTAGAACCACCAGCCATGTTAGAAGATTCTATTATATCTGGAAATATTTATTGTTTATTAATTCCACTGAATTTAATTTTGAGTTGGCTCATTTGATTATTTGAATTTTTATTTTGTTCTGCAATATACCATACTCTCGATCTAATCCTACATGCAAGTCGCTTGTAACTTATTATTGCATATGAAGAAATACATTAAATTAATAAAATTTTTCATATTTACCCTTCTTAAAGAAAAGGTATTGAAAAAAATATGATGTACATTTTCTCTCACAATGTTCCTTTTTTGTATTCAATAGAAGTAAAATTGCCCCCCAAAAAAAAAGGCAATTAATTACCCTGCAGATAACTTATATCTAGGACCAAACTTTTTTCCTACCAATAATTTACATATAGGACCAAAGTGGTGTGTCATATTTCAGATTTTAAGATGTAGTTATTACTTATTTTCAATAATATCCTTGTTAAATGGAAGACATCAAAATGGAGGTAGTTAATGTTTAAAATAGTGCGACATTTATAGAAGGTAAAATTGAAATATATATATATTTTGCCCGCGAATATACATATATATATATAATACATATATTTTTGCTTTCTTCTTATTATGTGTTTTTCTTTTCATAAGTAGGGACGGAGAAGCTACATCATAAATTTAATAGCTAATTTGATCTAATGATGTCTGCTTGTTCATTAACAAGTGGCACACATCCAGGTGAGCCTAATTTAAAAAAAAAATTAAAAAAAATCATTAGATAATTGGGGGACATATGCCCCCGAGGAGACAATATGTCCACTTAATGACCAATAATTAAGCGACAATTTGTGACAAATATTGTTCAAATGATAATGACAATATTTAATTAATAATTTGTTGGAGTGGACAACTATGTTTGGAGATCAGATTTTTGCGATAATAATTATGCATCAAGAGATCGATCATGATGTGCAAGATGAAATGAACCAAATCTTTTTTTTTCAATTTTTTTTAATAAAATGATTGATCAAATCTTCATTATTCAATGGGAATTGACCTGATGGGAATATCGATTCATAGAATTTTATATGGTTTTTAGTCAGTACACTCTGAAAGTGTCAATGTTTGTGGACATTTGAAGATGCCACTTTCGAAATGTTTATTTAGAATTTGATGGTGCTTAGTTTTGACAATGAGCATTAAATTAATTTGTTGCAAATGTATCCTTTCGTGAAAAGCTACCCATGATTAGTTTTTGAAAATAATCAAAGTATGAAAAAGAATGTTGATAAAAATATAAAACTCTACAGCGCTGGTAAAAGAAACATAGGGAGATATTATATTATGAAATGATATAAAAGATATTTTTTAAACGTAAATAAGCAGAGTCATAATCTATATGTAATATAAAAGAATTTAAATTCCATATAGTACAGGAACCTTGTACTAGTTGTTTCCTACTAAAACAGGCAAGAAGCTGTCTATTTGGTTAAAATAATACTACCTCCTATTTTTAATATAAAAATTTGTTTGACTTTCACTTTGGTTCTAAATATAAGACCTCAATCCACTTTATCTCTCATATTTATTCATTTTTTAAAGGTAATCCTTGTAATAATTGCACATGTTAAATATTTTATCAAATAACATTTGATTAGTAAGGATATTTTAGAGAAAACACCACTTATTTATTACAAACAACTAGCTTAACTAATTTTTTTGATTTATTTAAATTAGTCAACTAACTTTTTTATTAAGGACCTAAGGTAGTATTTTATTGTATATTTTAATGGAATAATAAAATAATATTAAAATTAAAATTAAAATGAGGTTGCCTCAGGTGCAGGTCCTACGCATGTGACCAAATGACCAAAATTTTTGATATCTAGTATTGAAAAAAATTAATATTTGACAGCACTAATTAAGTACTGCTTGTGTTTGCAAAAACAGCCGGTGGGTTGATTCTAAGCCGTCTTGATTTGAAATTAGATTGCAATGGATCTCTAATCATGTGGCCTTGTTGGTGACCGTTAATTAATAAATTAATTATGGGATTTTGCTGCTTTCAATAATTAATCGAAATGTCATAATTTTAAGAAGATTGCATAGCTATTGTACACTAGTTGTTTGAATTTAAATGGCTCAAATGATTGAGTTGAGCTTAAAAAACCAAAAAAAAAAAAAAATCAATTTTCCTTGAACAAGATTGAGTGCTTTAATGATGTACATGGGAAAAATTGCAAAAAAAAAAACTTAAAAATTCAAAAATTGTATGCCCATTCATAAATATAAGAGTAAAATACTTTAATTATCTTTCTAATTTGCATCAATTATATAAACCTCTCTTTTATTTTAAAAACATATAATTTAATCCGATTAAGTTACTCCGTTAGAGATATTCTAAAAAAAATTCTTTTTAACTGAAATTTATATTAAAATAAATTTTATCTACTATTTTACCCTTCATTCGAATAAATTCCGAAATTATATTTTTACAATTACATAAATTTTATTGATTAAAAATTTAACTAATTTTTCAATAAATATACATACTTGACTAAATACGTTTGTAAATCTTTGTAACTAAAGTGTTTAAAAGTTTTGAGTTATAAACTTAAATAATTTATAAACCCTTTCAAACTTATATCATTTAAACTTTACTGTAAACAAAAACTATGCATTTCAAATATATTTTATAATTTAAAAATAATCAAAATAAATAATTTTTAATGAATGTAATAAAATATTAAAATCATAAAATTTTACGATTTAGATAAGAAATTTTATGACATATTATTTGGTCAAAAAAATAATTTAAAATCAAACTAAATAGTTAACTACCTGTTTGGGTGGATAAAAATAGAATCTTAAATATAGAAAGGAGGTTTATATAACACAAGTTTTAATGATAAGAGATGTTTATATATATTTTTAAAATAAATAAGAAGTTTCTATAATTAAAATAAAATAGAAAGATTATCAGTGTATTTTACTCTAAAAATAATTGTCATCTACACATCAATTATTATTAAAACTAATACTAATATTATAACGAGTCCCATTTGCAAATTTTCCATTTCCAAAGTCTCTTCTTGCAGTTTTTCCGAAAACAAGTTGGAAGATATTCTCCCGTTAGACTTAACAATTAAATTTAGTGTAATATTTATATGAAATTATTTTATTAAAATATTGAGGAAATTCAATTATATATAATAAAAATATTTAATTGATCAATTAACATCAATATAAAAATATTTAATTGATGAATTAATATCAATGTAACATATTAAAACAGAATCACTCATTTACTCTTAATTTATATAGTAATATTTCCAGAAAAGCAAGAAAGATTTTCATATCAAGAAACTAGAAGATTGATTTCTTTTTTAACAAGTGCTTCAGTTGTTTTAGAATATTTCGAAGGAAAACACAATGATATAAATTACAGAAAACGTAATACATATCATGAAGTATGATACACACTTTATTATCTAATAAAGGTATATTAACTGTTTTTCAAAGCAGTTAGCCACTATATCACAATACGGCTAAGTTACCTTTCTCATTTGTAGATGAAATTTATATACTAAAATTTTATACCGATTTCACCAACTCAGCAAGAAATATTTTCTCTCCGCTTAATGAAGAGATTATTGTGTACAAGTGAACTGAACCCAAACCATAGCCAGATCATTGGCCTTTTTAAAGAATTTTTGAGCAAGCTCTGAGAAAAAGAGCTCTGGACAAGGGCAGCTGGGGAGTCTATGGAAAAAAGCTAAAATGACGGAGAAAAGAAAGGATACCACAAGGTTTCACAATTTTGCCTTTCCTCTGACATATTTCTCGAGAAACAAACATACCAACCATATTAACAGACCCGGAGCATCAACTTCAGCAAAATTTCACACAGATGACCCATATGTACCATGTAACCCAACGTCCTGCTGACTAAAATTCCTGAACTCTTTGGATAGGGTAATACTCTCCTCCCTGTTTTCCTCCCTATATAAATGAAGCCTAGAGGTATCAACTCAATCCATAACACACTGATATATAAATATTTTCACACACAAACACACACACATATGTAACAACATAAAAATCAACCACAAATACAGACATGCCTTAAAGTCAAATTCAATCAAAATATAAAATAACATCTATGACAAATCATGCTACTATCAAATCATAAAAAATGTGACTCATTCCTCATACTTGGTACAATGCACAAGAAAGCGCATCCAGTTGCAATTTTGAAGGGAAAACTAACCGAAAATCTTCATATAGGGGGGGTAGTTTGAAAGACTTGCTGCAGGGATACAGGAAGAGGGGAAAAGACGCTTGCTGCATATGGCAATGCGATAGTTGCTTGGGAATCCTGAGGTACCATTGATTGCTGGACTGCACTTTTTTTGGATGAGGAGAAAAAATAGAGGGTAAAGAATACCAAGAGGGAGAACTCCTGAAACTAGTTTTGAGAGTTTTCCCCCCTAGTATTCTCCTCCCTCCTCATTTTTCTCCCCATCCAAACCAAGCCTTAGGAACCGAGCGAGGGGAAATTCAGAAATAAAAGAAGCCAAGGTGCATCTGTTTCATGATCTGGTAAACTTGGTGCATCAATTCAAGATGTTACCAAAGTACAGGTTTAAGTGCCAATTGACGAGTTGTCCTAGCCTAGACTCCTTAACTTGCCCAAGTTTAAAACTTAAATTTGCATGAAGCAGAAGCTGAAATTTTACTCGCATGTTTACAGTAGCAATGACATGGACAGTATAAATCAGTTGGCAGATGTTTATCTAATCAAATGCAGAGACATTCCATACGCTCAGCACAACTACACTATGCTGCACCAGGAGATTCACATGCTCGGCACAACTACAGTATGCTGCGCCCGGAGACCGTTTTAGACATGTCAATACATCAGAAGTACCTGCTTTATCATCACTTTATAAAACTGCCCATTTTTAAAACAGTTTACTTATCAGTAGAACTACGATATTGACTCAGGAAAAGTCAAAGTCACACGTCTTAGAAGGACTTTGTTAAAACGAAAAATTAGAACATTCAACAAATTGTAAAAAAAAAAAGAGAGAGAGAGAGACGAAAATTCGCAAGGAGGGTCTCAGATGAGTAAGGAAAACATCAAGTCTGGCAGGAGAGACCACCAGCAGCAGCAAGCTGGGCAGTCGTTAGACTAAGATCAGCACCAAAGATTCTTCATTGTCCTCCATGCACAGGATTTTCTTAAACAACAGCAACAAGAGACGTTGGAAGCTCGGGAAAACAACTCGTGAAAAGCAAAAAGGGAGGAAAAAACAGGAAGAAGAATGCCAATACACAACATATCCAACATTGTACCACAAAATAATCCGAAGCATATATGTCGCTAGCAATCAGAATGGATAGGGTAGAAGTATAATAACCGATTACACACAATTGAAGCAAAAACTAGTAATAACTTAAAAAAAAAAAAACAAAGAAAAGTAATCTCAATCTCTATTCAAAAGCGTCTGATTACCCGACCAGACTCAAAGCCAAATTAAAATGAAAAATCTAAAACAAAGTAAGAAAGTGTGCGACGGCGTCCGTCACAGGGCTGACAACAACGTAGTGAACATGTAACGCGGGGAATAAATTCAAATCTAGATTCAAAGCCAGATTGAACAGATCAATCTCGCCGGAATTTGGAAGTAGACAAAGCCCTAGGGTTCGAACCTTCTTCAGCCCGAGAACAACCACGCAGGGCTGACAACGGCGAAAGGCGTCCGACGGCGGGCTGGACCAAATACGGAGGGCTTGTGGGTCGACTAAGAAAAATGTAAACCTACTTAACGGGCGGGAGGGGTTATACTCTATAATTAATTTAATGGAGAATTAGCTTCCTGAAAAATAAAATTTATTTTATTAATTTACAGTCTAAAATCTAAATTCTACTCTGAAGTATTATATTTTTAAATATTTTTAGATTTTATATAAGCATATGATACTATTCAGCTCAAAAAAAAAAAATATAAGCATATGAATTATAACCTAATTTAAAAATTTGTTTTATTTAAGTATAAAAGTTTTAGTTTATTCTGCCTTTTAAATTTATGATTTTTTTCTTAAATTATTTTCTTATATAAATAATTAAAAAAATGAGGTGTATTGAAAAGAGATTTTCATTAATATCTATTTATATATTTTGATATTTTATTCTTATGTGAAATGATTAATATAAAGTTGTATATATTTAGTATATTATTTTCAATGATCTTGTGAGTTGGGAGATATACCGTATATCTTCTTTTCTTTTCTTTTCTTTTTTCCTGGCTGTGAGGTATATCAATATTATGTGAGCTTGTGTAATAAAATTAAGGTATTTAAGTTCTTCTTAAAACTTTTTAAGAATTTGATATTTAGAAGATGTTTGGATGAAAATTAAATCATTATTTTAAAAATAAGTTTACAGCATATAAAATAAATATGTGTGAGAAGTTCCATTTTGATTTACTTGAAAATACTTTTTAAAAGGATTTTTTATTGAACCAAACACTCCTTTAATTTTTTATACATATATTATAGTATATACTACCCCCAGTCTTATTTATAAAATTTCGTTTATACACTACAAATAAGATCTTATAATTAGGAGTGGAAGTACTAATATTATTTTTATTCATTGTTATGTCATCAATCTGACCAAACGTTCGATTTAGCTTTCAAAGCATTGATTCAAGTCTATTACTTTATTGCTTATTGAGTCAACCATAAGGGTATGCATAAGACCTGCATGCTCGAGCCTACAAAAAAATTGCCCAGCCCAACAAAAAACTGTTTGAACAAAAATAGGTATTTTCGAGTTGGACTGATTCCCGGACAGGGTAGAGCCACAGCCAGGGTATGTTGCCCTGCCTATTTGACCCTGCCCAAAAGAATATATAATTATTTATATAATGTAATATTATTTTAAGCAAGTATCCCCTTTATTTTGGCTAAAAAAATTAGTTAAAACTAGAAAAAAATGAAAGGAACATAAAAATTATAATTATATAAAAGAACCAAATATCAAAATATAAGATGAAATATGCTAAATTACTCCAAGTCAAATTTTCTTCTTTTCCTCTTACCTCTAATTTTTTAAAACAAAAAATAAAATAAAACCACCTTTCAAGTCTTGTACCTTCACATAATTATAAAAATCCTTCAAATATATAAATAAATGAAAGAATTGAACTACAAAATTAGTTCATGTTATGAATATTATGTGGATGTCTATTTATCCCTTCCTCTTCATCTTCTCCAAGTAACTTCTACTACATCTACCATCCATTACTTCTCTACTATCCATTACTCTTCCACTATCTATTCACTCTTGTAACTCACCTCCATTCACCTTCATGGGATTGATTATCTACTATTTGTCATTTAAGGACAATTATAATCTTTGCATAAGACTATGCCTATGAATAGGACATGTCATTTGTGTTGTAGTGCAAGTGAAGAAATATAAAAAGTTCTCTCATTCTCTTCTCTTCATCTTTCTACTTTTGTGGTTTCATTTTGGTTACATTACAATAGTAATGCAGATGCTGGATTCTTGTCTGATCCACATTTTGGTAGATCACAAATAGGCTATTTGTTCACATATGGTGGTACAACCATTTCATGGCGTTCTATGAAACAAACTATATCAGCCACATCATCTAATCATGCAGAAATTCTTACAATACATGAAGTAAGTCGAGAACGTGTATGGGTAAGATCGATAATACATCACATACAAATTACTGTGGCTTATTTTCCAGCAAAATGATCACAACAATTCTGTATGAAAATAATACTACATGTGTTGCGCAACTAAAAAAAGGTACATTAAAGGAGATAGAACAAAACATATTTCGCCAAAATTCTTCTTCACTCATGATCTTCAAAAGAATGGTGAAATTAACGTCCGGCAAATCCATTCTAATGAAAATCTGGCAGATTTGTTCACCGAGTCACTTCCTTGTACGATATTTGAAATGCTTGTTCATGATATCGGATGCCGTAGATTCAGAGATATCGACTGATGTTACTAAGAGGGGGAGTTAACACATGCTATATCCTTTTTCCTTGACTATAGTTTTTATGCCACTGAGTTTTTCCTAATAAGGTTTTTAATGAGGCAGCACTAGATAGTATATCGATAAATTTGTACTCTTTTTCTTCTTCTAGGTTTTTATCCCACAGGGTTTTTCCTAGTTGAAGTTTTTTAACGAGGTACATATTTGTATAATGAAAATCCGAGGGGAGTGTTATGAATATTATGTGGATATCAATTTACCCCTTCCTCTTCATCTTCTCCAAGTAACTTCTACTACCTCCACTATCCATTCACTCTTGTAAGTCACCTTCATTCAAATTCGTGGGATTGATTATTCACTATTTCTCATTTAAGGACAATTGTAACCTATGTACAAAACTATGCCTATAAATAGGGCATGTCATTTGTGTTGTAGTGCAAGTAAAGAAATACAAAAAGGTCTCTCATTCTCTTGTCTTCATCTTTCTACTTTTGTGGTTTCATTTTGGTTCCATTTCATAAGAGTTCAATTATTAAATGTTTTAATTATTAAATATTTGTTTACCTCCTATAAGAATCGAAAGCTGAAGAATAAGACTACATAAGCTTTATACATATATACACACACACACACACATATATATATATATGAGTGATTGAGTTATTCATGATAAATTCTTTTCCTCTCACTTATCTCAAAACATGATAATTGAATATTTTTTCCTACATATGATATGGGCCAGGTACCATTAAATTGGACAGAAAAGTCCGTCTTTGCCTAGCTCAAAATGGTTAGGGCTTTTACTGGGTGGGACCACGTAGCGAGTTAAAAAACGCAGCTCCTTCATCTTTCGAGTTGGGCGTCGGGCTTAGAGCTTGCCCTGTTCATGTGCAGTCCTAGCTAGCTACATGCCATTTGCTTTTCGATTTATCGTTGCACGGCAACATTGCACACCATGGTTCAATCAGAGGCAACTAGAATTCTATTATTATTTTTTTTGGAAAAATTATGTAAAAAAAAAAGCCTTAAAATTAGTCTTTTTCAATTCAGGCACCTAACATTTCAAAATGATAAAGAATGAAGTAAACTTAAATTAGAATTTTAAAATTCAAGCGAAATGGCAAAGATGCCCTTTTTGAATAACAATTCATCTAAAAATAACAAGTTCAGATTGTAAAATAACAAGTCTCAATTTGGAATTAACAAATTTTTTACCTGGTACATAACATATGAATTAATTAAAAATGAAAAAATGGCATTAAGGTCCCACACAAGCATAAATACAACAAAAAGGTCCCCTGAAATCTCATAATGTTTTTGAAGTCCCAAAGGGACTTGTGTACAATTTTCAGAATCATCAAATGACACTCTTGCCCTAACTATCCTCTTACCCTAACTATCAGAAACAAAGACATGTGAGGAGTTTCCCACACAATATGGTTGAGAGAGAAGACGTTGGGAAAGAGGGAAGGAGCCATTGATGATGAAGTATCTTCTCCATTACCATTAGTGAACTCCAAAGAGTTTCCATGTGAATCTCTACAAATCTTCAGGTGTGAAACTTTCTTTCCTCTCCTCTCCTACCTTTCTTGACAGATTGTGTATTTGTTTGGGAATGAGAAATCAGAAAATCATTTTTGCCTTTGGTACTGCAAAGTTTTTGTTTTTGGTCTAGGATTCACAAGTTAATCAATGGAGAAGCTATGTTTTTGGTTGGTGTGTGTTGGTGATTTAAGTTGGGTGTGTAGATGATCATGGGTGCTTGTTTTTGGGTTGCTTGTGGGTGGTTTTGCTCTGTTCTGACGTTAGTTTAGTGGCAAAAGAAGAAGAAGATGAAGGTTAGTGTGAGTAGAAACCCTTAGCACAAAATAGGATATTGTGTTGTCAACCAAGCCGCGATAGCTGTCAATGTGTGCCGCGACACTTGTCAATATAGCTTCTTGACTTGTCAATGACAGTTGCGTGATTCTTGATGCAGGTTTAAATTACTGATGACAAGTACATCTGTAAAGCATCTATTTTGCTTTGTTCACGTAGGGGGAAAGTTTATAAATGATAGAGAAGATGATATGAGATATGTGGGAGGTAGTGTGAGAACAACAAATGTAAAGAAGGGCACAAGTTATGAAGAATTGAAGGAGATAATATCATCAATTGTTGGAAAAGAAAGCAACTCATTTCTTTTGAAATTCTCAATTGTGTTTGATAAAAAAAACTTTTGTGGAGTTGGTAGATGATGATGATGGGGTAGAACATTTGATAAAGTTCAATGAAGAAAGTGGTCATGTGTATGTAGAAGAAAATGGAAATAAGGACCATGTAGAAGCAACAAGGGATAATACACTAGAGGAACAAGATGTGTAAGTTTAGTTTAACAAAACTATTATTGTCATTTATTGGTATGTCAATTGTTACTGTCTTACTACCAACTTGTCAATGCATGCACCCTGACTTTTCATTTCCTGCAGGATTGACCAATCATTTGGAGGTGTCAATGAATTGTCTATATCTCCACCCACCTTATCTGATGTGATTGGAGAGCCACCATCAATTCCTTGTACTGTTGAAATGATCCCAACACCTACACCATAAATAAATTGTTTATATCTCCACCTACCTTATCTGATGTTACTTGTCACTGGATGCTCTGTTAGTTGTTAATGGATGCTGTGTTACTTGTCACTGGATGCTCTGTTAGTTGTTAATGGATGTTGTGTTACTTGTCACTAGATGCTCTGTCCCTTGTCACTGGATGCTCTGTTTTTTGTCACTAGATGCTGTGTTACTTGTCACTAGATACTGTGTTATTAGTGAAGCCTTTTGATTATGTGTTTTTTTTGCAGATGAACTGTTTCTATACGATGTTACGTGCTGTTAAGCCAGAATTGTTTGCCAATGAGGACAAAATTGACAACGAAGTGAAATGAGCTAAAGTTTTTGTACAGAATGATATGTGAGTATAGTTGTTTTGTTTGATTGTGTTATGTTGTTTTTGTTCACAATAACAATTGCATAGTGCTAACATATTCAATTTTCTTGGCAGTGATTCATGTGGAGTTCATGTTCTCTCTTGGCTACAAGTGTGGAATGACACTATTCTTGATGATGCAGGATATACAATGCCACGATACTCCAATGGTGAACTACAAGAGTTGAAGGTTGACTGTTTGTGGTGGTTGGTTATCCATCCAAATAATGAACATGGGGGTGAAGTGATGTCGATGTTATCTGACTACAACAAGAGTAAGAAGAGGAGATAGAGTAGTCTATTAATTTTTTCTTTTGTTAGCCCATGATATGTGTTGTAAGATGATTGGCAAATAGGTCATTTTGTAACAAACTGATTAAATTATGTTTATAATATTATTACCTTTGTCATCACATGTTGTAATACTAATTTCTTAGGGTTTTATTACATTTTTAATTACATTTCTGTTTTATATGTGCAGAGATATTAAGGGACATCATTTTATAAAATATTCTAATTTAATGACAAGTGATATAAGAATTTTATAACAAATGAATGTGTGGATATTAACAATTGATATTCAAAATTTTCACAACTAAAGGTGTCTATATAAATAATGTTACAGTGCTCTATTGATAAGTCATACTACGACCATTGACAAAGGACAGTGTTCTCATTAACAAGTCACAGTGCTCTATTAACAAGTCATAGTGTAACCATTGATAAGGGATAGTGTTCTCACTAACAAGTTATAGTGCTCCATTTACAAGTCATAGTGCGATCATTGACAAGGAAGTGTTCTCACTAACAAGTCACAATGTTCTATTGACAAGTCATAGTGCGACCGTTGACAAGGGACAATGTTCTCACTAACAAGTCACAGTGCTCTATTGACAAGTCATAGTGCCACCATTGAGAAGGGACAGTGTTCTCATTAACAAGACACAGAGCTCCATTGATAAGTCAGTGTGCTACTATTGACAAGTTACAATGCCACCATTGACAGGGGACAGGAAGAGGTAAGTTTTTGATACTTTATTAATGATGATTATATATGACAATATAACTAAAATATAATATGACAGAGTGATTGAAAATATCATTTGATGGTAAAAAAGGTTATGTTACTTGAATTCATATTGTTGACAATTTACATCAACAAATTTATTGACAAGTCATAGTGCAATAATTGACAAGTCATAACATGTCTAATGACAACGCAGGGTGCAGGTAATGACAACTGAACTGACAGCAAAATCTAACATGCCAATTCATAGTTAACTTTCATTTACACCTTCATATATATGAAACTATACCTATTTCACAACCCATCCCAAAAAAAACATAGGGGTTGCATGTAATTACAAAACTAATCAATGGTGTGTATCTATTTACAAAAAAATTCCTTCACACCCATTTACAAAATATTCTCTTCACATCCATGTACAAAAAATAGCTGACTTCAATATGTTCTTAGCTGGGATTTGGGTTCTTGCATGTCTTGTAGAATGTTTTGCGGAGAGCAGTGGTATTTGGAAATATTTGTCCTTCTCCAATAATCAAATCCTTCCACTTTGTGAAATTTATTTGTTGTGTAGGTGTTGGGATTATTTCAACAGCACAAGGAATTGATGATGGCTCTCCAATCACATTAGATAAGATAGGTGAAGATATAAACAATTCATTGACACCTCCAAATGATTGATTAATCCTGCAGGAAATGACAAGTCAGGGTACATGCATTGACAAGTTGGTAGTAAGACAATAACAACTGACATACCAAGAAATGACAACAACAGTTTTGTTAAACTAAACTTACACATCTTGTTCCTCCAGTGTATTATCCCTTGTTGCTTCTATGTGGTCCTTATTTCCATTCTTTTCTACATACACATGACCACTTTCTTCATTGAACTTTATCAAATGTTCTACCCCATCATCATCATCTACCAACTCCACAAAATTTTTTTTTATCAAACACAACTGAGAATTTCAAAAAAAATGAGTTGCTTTCTTTTCCAGCAATTGATGATATTATCTCCTTCACTTCTTCATAACTTATGCCCTCCTTTACATTTGTTGTTCTCACACTACCTCCCACATATCTCATATCATCTTCTCCATCATTTATAAACTTTCCCCCTATGTGAACAAAGCAAAATAGATGCTTTACAGATGTACTCGCCATCAGTAATTTAAATCTGCATCAAGAATCACGCAACTGTCATTGACAAGTCAAGGAGCTATATTGACAAGTGTCGCGTCACACATTGACAACTATCGCGACCTGATTGACAACACAATATCCCATTTCGTGCTAAGGGTTTCTACCCACACTAACCTTCATCATCTTCTTCTTTTGCCACTAAACTAACGTCAGAACAGAGCAAAACCACTCACAAGCAACCCAAAAACAGAGCACCCATGATCATCCTACACACCCAACTTAAATCACCAACACACACCAACCAAAAACACAGTTTTTCCATTGATTAATTTGTGAATCCTGGACCAAAAACAAAAGCTTTCCAGTACCAAAGGCAAAAATGATTTTCTGATTTCCCATTCCCAAACAAATGCACAATCTGTCAAGAAAGGTAGAAGAGGAGAGGAAAGAAAGTTCCACACCTGAAGATTAGTGGAGATTCACATGGAAGCTCTTTGGAGTTCACTAATGGTAATGGAGAAGATACTTCATCATCAATGGCTCCTTCCCTCTTTCCCAACGTCTTCTCTCTCAACTATATTGCGTCGGAAACTCCTCACTCGTCCTTGTTTCTGATAGTTAGGGCAAGAGTGTCATTTGATGATTCTGAAAATTGCACACAAGTCCTTTTGGGACTTCAGAAACATTATGAGATTTCAAGGGACCCTTTTGCTGTATTTATGCTTGTGTGGGACCTTAATGCCATTTTTCCATTAAAAATGACAACAATTCATCTAGAAATAAGAAGTTCTGACTGTGAAATTACAAATCTCGATTTGGGATTAACAACACGTTCTTTCCTGGTACAAACATAAAATAACTTGTGAATCAATTAAAAATAACAACAATTTATCCAAAAATAATGTCTTGATTGTGAAATTATAAGTTTTAATTTTGGGATTAACAACACGTTTTTTTAATGAGATTTACAAAAGTCATTTTTGTCATTTCTCTTGAATTTTAAAATTCCAATTTGAATTCATGTCTTTTTCTGTTATTTTGAAGTGTTAGATGCTTGAATTGAAAAATACTAATTTCAAGCTTCCTTGGCATTAGTAATTTTTTTATAAGGAAAAATCAATATATATTTTCACAAGATAAAAAGAAGGTTAAAGAAGAAGCTAAATTCCTTCTGTTCCGGGCTCATATAAGTAATTAAATACAGGATTGGTATTTTGAGGGTTTAACTCAAATATTAGAACCATTTGATCAAAATAAACAATGCCAGAAGAATAATGAATTTTAGATGACAGTAAGATGTATGTAAACTCGAGTCTAGCTTTTCGATACTCCATGCACTGTCAATGGAGGCTTATAATGCTAACAAAGTGTTGATAAGTGAATATAAATCTCTCAGATTTGCCAAAGATTTACCCAAATTTAGGGGGGATTTTGTGAAGAAAACCAAATGAAGTATACGAATAGTATTTCTGAACTTGAAAAGTCAATGGTTAAGAATTTCCCAACAAAATGGTATAATTATTAACTTTACCTTCAAATATCTAATGGGAAAACATATATCCTCTCTATTTCCTTCTTGACTTTTAGAAATACAACATTCCTTCATTCTGTCGGTGACAGAAGTCAACCGACTGGCAAGTCAAATATGAAGGCACTAAACTATATAGCAGAATGGTATAGTAATCAAATACTTATACACGTGTGAGTGTGTGTCTCCCTGTATCTTGTCCTTTGGTGCTTTCTTTTTTTCGGTTCTTTAGTTGCCTCAATTACAAATAAGCATCATAATGGTGGGAAAATTACATCCAGCTATCCTGTTTGTGTAAAAATAATCCAAAAGAGTGTAAAACAATTCTTCCATTTCCAAGCCTAGGAAAATGTAAACCACTTTATTTATTGATCACATTAACACGCTAAAATACTTCAGAGTCCTTAGTGTGTTACTCTGTTCATAGCTTACTCATTGAAACTTTATATATTATATCTAGAAACAGCATATCGATCTTTGCTTTCCCCCAAAACAGCTTCAGAAGATAGAATGCCTTTCATTCTCCATATCAAAAAAGAACCATATCTCATTCACTCTATCATCATACTCAAAAGGGGCATTGTACTGAGCAACAGTATAAACAGAAGCATGCCCAGCTCGGTGACTCTTTTCAATGGCAGAAGACCACTCAGTGCCTGCAATACTGGCCTTCAAGGCAGCAGCTTCCTCCCCAACATTAGAATCCCTCACAAACCCACCGAACTGCCTCACCGCTACATATACAGGCTTCCATCTTTGGATATGGAGACCCTTCGCAGGAGGAGGGTTCGCTTGGTTCTCCTTTGGAACAAAAAAGCTTACCACAAATGAGGACTCACAGAAAGGTCCATCACTAGGTGATACTTCAGTGATCACAGGTGCTGTCATTTCAATTTTTTGCTTGTAGTTGTTCTTGCCCTGAATATAATCAAACAACCTACAAAACAAGAGAGGGAGCACAGGATTAATGAAAGACTCATTCATTATATTTGGACTTGTATGAGGCACTCCAAGTCTTCGTTATTTAATTTACTGATGGATATAAAACTTATTGTTTTTTTTTTTTTTTAAATATTGACTCTTCCATAATTGGTTCCATTGCTTGCCACGCTTCAAGGGAAGAGAGACAGCTACATTACTTCTGTTCCTTGCTTGTATAAAAAGATGAGGAATCATTTAATACAGAGATGGTATTTGGGAGGGTATAACTCAAGCATTAGGTAACGTTTGATCAAAAGAGACCCCCACTCCCTGGTTAATAATGAATGGTTAGTAGCATTACATACTGATATTAGATATCAGTTGTATGTAACTAAAGTTTAGTCTAGCTTCTGTATGCTCCCTGCACTGTTATTTGACAAAGTCATCATCTTACAGAGCAGAACAGTTTAGCTCACTGAAGGCTTATATTAATAAGCGTTAACAAGTGAACATAAATTTGCAGAAGTCATATCCAAACGAAGGAGGTATTTTGTGAAGAAGAACAAACTAAGTAAGAATACTATTAGTGAACTTGAGAAGTCAATAAATTCCCAACAAAGTATTATAACCATTAACTCCACTTATCTAATGACAAAAACATGCATCTTATTTTTTTCGATCTTGACTTTCAGAAATACATGTTCAACTCTCGGAAAGTTTTTCCCACAACATGCCTTCATCGTATCAGTGACAGTAGTCAAACGAGTAGCAAGTAAAATATGAAGGAACAAAACCATAAAGCAACAAAATATAGTGCTAAACAAGGATCTCCCAGTCATCAATGAGCAAGAATTTGTCAGCATTTTCAGCGACCAAAGACTAACAATACATTAATTTATTATGAAACTTAGTTCACCAAACTTAAAGCATCCATCCATTCATCTTCAGTGGACTACGGCAAAAAAGAAGAACCAAACCAATATTTGACAAATTCCCAGAAGAAAAATTTCCGAGAGAGGATATTCACCTTAAGAATCCAGTTCTGGTTGCTCCAACAAGGGAAATGTCTTGAATGGGGGAAGTCGAGGCCCAGACGGTGGAATTATAGTGGCGAATTTCGTAGCCGTCGCCGACATGAATCACATTGTAGGAGGGGCACTCGATGCGCTTGCATGTTGGCGGAACTTTCGCGAAGCCTGAAACCGATGCTAGGAGTAGGATCAACGGCAGCGAGAGCTTCAATTTCGTTAGAGTCGTGGCCATGGCTGAACGCTAGCTCGTGCGATACCGTATGCTGCTTTCTACTCAAGCTTGGAAACTTCAAATAGATGAAGCTGTGACTGAAAAGTGAAATGTGAATTTCCATGGCTGGCAAGAAGCAACGAACGGTGACCACAGGTTTATGGGAACAGCCGATTTCGAGCAATCGTGGCCGTCCATAAACTAGAAGGTCCCCATCATCCATCCATAAATCAACTTTTTGAAATTAAAAAATTAACAAAAAATACAATCACAATAAATATAATAAATTTTCGGACTCCTTAAAGTTTAGGAAAAATTAGTAAAAAAAATCCACATTTAAAAATTTAATTAACTAAAAAAAATTTAAATTTGAACGAGTATAACTATGATCTATAGATGTAATATATCTTTTGTGTGTGCAGAGCTTCCGTATTAATGATTGTTACACATCATTAATAATATATTACATATTGTGGAAAATACGTTACAATTATAAATGTATTCACTTAAATTCAGATTTTTTTAACTAATTAAATTTTAAAACAGGATTTTTGACCAATTTTGACTCCGTTCTTGTAATTTCATTGGGTTTATAACTCGAATCTTATTAGTGCCAAAGATAATCCCAATAGATTCATACTGTAATTTTCTTCTTTTCTTTACCGTCTTCTTCTCCACCGTGGCATTGTCTTCTTCCCCATCTCCTTATTGCCGTCACCGAGTGGCCAAAGCCCGGCCCCCATCAAGCTCACCGCCACCTTCACCCCCTCCTTCTCTCACCTGAGCCTTCACTGTCACTGTCATCCTAATTGTCACCCACTCCCCAGTTGCCATCTGCCCCAGTGAACGCATCTGGATCTTCACCTGCGATGTCACTATTGCCATCAAGTGACGACACCGGGAACATCGAATCCCAATGATATCGCCGTTGTTCATGGAAGCAGCTTGGGCTTGACAGCCTCGTGTGGACTTAGGCAAAGACGCAGTTAATTTAAGCAAGAAGCAGAGCAGCTCGTCCACACATATAAATCGCTAATCCACAGGAATATGACCAAAGATGAAATCTTCCGACATGTTCAACTCAACCAGTCGTAAGGTTAAAGATGCTAAGAGATAAAGCACCAGACAGACTGAGCTGATGAAGATTTACGGAAGTTACCATCGAATCATCATAATGCACATCTTTCCAATTGCAATGCGCAAAATCACAAGAATTCCAGTTGTGAAGATAATTTTGTCGGTCAACGAGAGAAGCTTTGAACTCCAAAAGATTTGAACTATCTTCACTAATTAAATTTACTAGGACGATGCCAAAACGAAATATTAGCATCCAGTAAAACTGTTTTTGGAAGTTGCAATCTGGTCCTATAGCCATTTTGCCCGGAAAAGTTAAGCTTTTGAGGATGGGTGGCGATAAAGACGACAGTGATAGTGCGAGGCTTTGGGCATTTGGTGACGGACTTGGATTCTCTCCACTTCCTTCCCATCCTCTTCCCCTCCACTACCCTTCTTTTTTCTTCACAACCATTGGATTAAAATTCTAATGGTCCAGATTTAACATCTTATAAAAATAATATTATTAAAAAAATAAATAAATAAATTTAAACTGTTAAAATCTGGTCTGAACAGTTTACAATTGTAATAAAAAAATTAAAAAAAATTTGCTCTATAATAACAGTCTGTAGTTATGAACTGTTCAGATTAGATTTTAACAGTTTAAATTTATTTATCTATTTTTTATCATAATATTTATCTTTATAAAATGTTATAAAATATTAAATCTGGACCATTGGAGTTTTGATCCAATGGTTATGAAGAGAAAAAGATGGTAGTGGAGGGGAAGAGGATGGGAAGGGTAGTGGAGAGAATCTGATTCCTTTGGTGACGGCCATAGAGATGGGGAAGAAGACAGTGCCACGGCGGAGAAAAGAAGAAAATTACTGCATGGAATCTAATTGAATCATCTTTACATGATGCTAGGGGTGTTCATGAAGCCCAATTACCCACTATGTTTGCGTCCAAGCCCGCAAAAAAATACTCAACCTATCTTAAAAAAAATGACCCGAAAGAATTATTGGGCATGTTCGGGCTGGGCAAACTGTTAGGCAGAACTGGGCATTGGGCACGATATGCTGCCCAGTCTATTTAGCCCTGCCTCCAAAAATATATATAATTTTATTTATGTATATTTTATTTGTCTTATATTTATTTTCTAAATCAAACACATTGTTGTATCAATATTCAGTATTCATTATACTTATTTATTTTTGAATGATTTTGAGAGTTAAAAACTAGAAAAACAATTAAGTTTAATAAAATATACTAATAACATTTTTTGTCATAGTCCACTCCTCTTAGCTACTACAAAAAGTAGTTTCATAGTATACTAATTAGTAATAACAAAATTAAGGCCAAATTTCCATTAATATAAAGTTACATTAGATTATTTAGAGGGATATAAATAATTAGTTAATTAACATAGTATATTGACTTGTTGGGCATAGAAGCCCACCCTGCCCAGCCCGCATTTGCCCAGTCCAAACTTATTAAGGCTTTTCATGGATAGGGCTGGGCAACGGGTTACATTTTCCAGCCCGTTCATTTTTCGGGCTGGGCATCGGGCAAAAGTCTTACCCTGCCCAGCCTTGCCCATGTGCAGCCTTACATGATGCTGCACTAACAAGGACTAAGTTATAAACCCAGTGAAACTGCAAAGCACAAACGAGCTAAATTGTAGGGACTGGATTACAAACTTAATCAAATTATAAGAATTAAATAATTATTTTTTTCCTAAACTTTTTGTAATATTTTCACCCGAAAATTCGTAATCTTTTTTCTTTTTGCAACAAAATTATATTTTACTTATTAGTTGCTATTATTATAAAACCAGGCTAATCTCAGCATTAGGCAATTTCTTTGTTTTTTTGTTAATATAATTTTTGGTTTCTAAATTTGAGTTAATTTTGGATTTTTTGGTCCCTCAAATTTCAAATTAGTGGTTTTGGTACCTAAAATTTAATATGTCTTAAAATATTAATCTCTCAAGATGTACAAATGTTAAAATCTACTAAAATGTCATCAATGACATTATAAAGTGGTGATGTAAAACGATCAGGTGGCACCTAACTAGATTTTATATGGATAACATAGTATAGTGCAATGAGCATCACTTAAAATGAATAACAAGGAAGAAAAAACAAAGGGCTAGAGTTGCATTTTGAGGATATGTTCTTTTTCTTCATTCTGTTATCTAAATAAAATCCAAGTAAGTTCCATCTAGTGGATGCACATCACTACTTTAGTATTGTTTATGATACTTTAGTATATTTTAACTCTTACACATTTGGGAAGTAACGTTTTAAGACAGACTATATTTCAAATATTCAAATCATGAGTTTGAAAGCCAATTAACTAAAACAAAAATAGACCTAAATTTTACAAATAAAAAATTATATTAACTCTTTTTTTATTAGAAGGCAAATTTATTTAAGCAAAGTAAAAAAATTACAGGGAAAAGGCTGCTAGTCACGAGTAATTAATTTGGGCCAAACCCCCCAAAATAAAAGCCAAGAAGGCAAGAAAAAAAATTATCCCAACTCTAATACTAAACTAAACAAAAAATTTCGAATAGTAAGCCCATAAGACGGTTAGCACTTCAAAGACCCGCCAAAGTTTTAGTTTCATTTTGAGCCAGTTGCAATTCCACCAAACTAGCCACTATTCGAAGTCCCAAAACATGAAAATAGATGTATGAGGCATGGAGCCGAGAAAACAAACCGACACCGGACTTATATTTTGGAGTCTTAAAAAAAAAATTGAGCTTAGAATGGTCAGCTTTCTAAGGCTAAAAAATAAACAGGCCAGCCTTGTAGGACCGCAGGCTAGCCCGTTTAAACTCACTAATAATTTTTTTAAATTTCTATTTTTTTAACTTAAAAAAAAACCCTAACATTTTTATACATAACACATTTTTAGTTTCATTCACCCTAGCAGCTCGCATAGACAGCATTCACAAAAAAAAAAATCACTATAGTTGTTGGAAAACTTTAATACTCAAAAGAAACTATCTCTAGACTCCTAAATTCAATATTAAAAACTTTAATAAATCAGAAGAGAACATACAAAATAATTAACTAAAATTAGATCTAACGAAAGAATTTAGTTCCTCAAAATATGATGAATAAGATATAAATATCTGTTAAAAGAGCTGCCAGAACGGGGGAAACAATATTCTAGAATATTGGAGTTGATGACGAGGGACATCTTTTTCTTGCCTTCTATGGTTTTAAATTTTTCTCCGAAAAACAATGATTGAATTTTTCTTTGATTCAGGTATACGAATAATTTGTAAGATTGAAATGCTTTTGATGCATTGTCCTCGCTCATAAGCAAAATGACTTTTTATATTATATGATATATAAAAACTAGAAGGGCTTCCTTTACATTATACAATGAGGAGTACCCACACAATATGATACTTTGAGAGTGACACATAAGAAAGCCTCACAACACATCATAGGATTCTACAAACCACAATTCTTAACAATAAGTCTTATCCTACTGTAGTTGTTGTTGTTCTTAAATTTCAAGAAAAGGCACATTGATATTTGCTTTCTCCTTCATTAACTTAGTTAGAGTGCCTTCCGTTCTCCATATCAAACAAGAACCATATCTCATTCACCCTATCGTCAAACTCAAAAGGGGCATTGTACTGAGCAACACAATAACCAGAACCATGTCCGCCTCTATGGCTCTTTTTAATGGCAGAAGACCACTCAGTGCCTGCAATACTGGCCTTCAATGCAGCAACTTCCTCGTCAACATTTGAATCTCTTACAAACCCACTGAACTGCCTTACTGCTGCATACACGGGCTTTGACGTTCCAACAACGACACCCTCTGCTGGAGGAGGGTTCCCTTGGTTCTTCTCTGGCACATAGAAGCTTACCACAAATATGGACTCGCCGGAGAGTCCATCCTTGGGTGCAACTTCAGTGACCACAGGTGCTGTCATCTCAATCTTCTGCTTGTAGTCATTCTTCCCTTGAATGTAATCAAACAACCTGTGAAACATCAAAGAAAGTGCAAAGGATTAATGAAAGGCTCATTCATTGTGTTTTGACTTGTTAGTGCTTATTCAGGACTAGATTGAGCAAAACCCAAGTCTTTGTTATTGGTTTTGTTGATGGACATAAAACCTATTGGTATTCACTCAGGTCGGCACCAGACCACTGCTCTTCCATTAAGATGCATGCTAAGCAAAGAATGGCAGCTAATTTTCCTCTGTTCCTCACTTATTTAAAAAGATGAATACCCGTTGAATACAGAGATAGTTTTTGCAGGATACAACTCAGACATTTTTGCTCCAAAAAAAAAAAAACTCAGACATTAGCTAGCATTTGATCAAAATAAACAGTGTCTGATTAATAATGAATAATTAGTAGTATTAATATATACTATCTCCGGTCCTAATTATAAGAGCCAGTTGACTAATTTGAGAAGATTAAGGAAAGAAGTTAAGTTGGTTATTTGTAATAAATATGTGTTGTCTTTCTTAAAATATCCTTGCTAATCAAATATATTGGTTAGAGCTACTATTGTTAGAAGGACTACCTTAGAAAAAAAATACTCCTCCGGTCCTAATTATAAGACCCAATTGACTTATTTGAGGAGATTAAGGAAGCAAGTTAAGTTGGTTATTTATAATAAATAAGTGTTGTCATTCCTAAAATATCCTTGCTAATTAAGTATATTGGCTAAAACTATCATTATTAGAAGGATTATCTTGGAAAAAAATGCATAAATATAAGAGACAAAATGGATTGGGTCCTATAATTAGGACCAAATAAAAAGTCAAATTGGGTCTTATAATAAGGACCGGAGGAGTACATAAATATGAGAGATAAAGTGAATTGGGATCTTATATTTAGGACCAAAATAAAAGTCAAACAAAATCTTATTAAAAATAACGAGAGGTAGTGTGCGTGTATATATAAGATTATATGTCAGTTGGATGCATGGAAAGTTGAGTCTAACTTTTGTACAGTCCCTGCACTGTCATTCGACAAAGTTCTCGTCTTACAGAGCAGAACAGTTTAGCTCATTGAAGATTATAATATTGGCAAGTGCTAACAATTGAATATAAATAATAACTTTGCAGAAGCTTTATCTAAATTAAGGGGGTATTTTGTAATGAAGAACTAGTGAACCTGAGAAGTTAATAAATTCCCAACAAAATAGGATAACTACCAACTTCACCTATCTAATAAGAAAAACATATATCTTATCAATTTGGGTGTTGTATTTCAAAAATACGTGTTCACTTGATAGCAGTCAAACGACTAGCAAAAAGTAAAATACGAAGGGGCAAAAACATACAGCAATCAAATAGTTAAACGTGGATATCCTAATTTTCGATGAGAGAAGATTTATCAGCATTTCTAGCAACCAAATAAATATTCTACAAAAGGATTCTTAAATTTAGGACCGGACGAGTACTAAAAAAATATAATAGTGTGCAGTGAATTAAAAAAAAAAAAAGCAGAAAAGGACTCGATCATGTATTCTTAAACCTCGCTCCCCAGAGTTAAATAGTACTCGTACATCAATTAATCTTCAAAGAACTTGGAAAACAAACAAAGAACCAACCCAACTCCTGAGAAATTCCCAAAACCAAAAGGAATGCCTCCGAGAGAAGATATATACCTTAAGAATCCAGTTTTGGTTGCTTCGACAACAGAAATGTCTTGAAACGGGTAAGGAGAGGCCCAGACAGTGGAATTATAGTGGCGGATTTCGTAGCCGTCACCGACATGAATCACATCGTAGGAAGGGCACTCGATGCGGTGGCACGTCGGAGGAACATTCGCGAAGCTTGAAGCTGATGCGAGGAAGAGACTCAACAGCAGTGAGAGATTCAATTTCGCGAGAGTCCAGGCCATGGCTGAACGTTAATTATACAATATTGTGTGCCTCTCTGGCGGCTGCTTCTGATTTTTTCTTCATCACCGATTTTATCATCTTTTATCTTCTTTTTTTTCCTTTCAAATTTTTTGTGGTGTATGCCCGTACCAGGGGATGTGGGCACTGTTCATGAACAGTGGCCTCTCTCGCATTCGACTCTGTGCCGAGTGCTGGTCCCGCACAGCACCGAGTGCAGCTCGAATGAAATGGTGTCGTTTGGAGAAGCGGAAAATGGAAAATATCATTGCGCGTCTCCCCCCTCATTACCGCATCCGCAGGTCACCTTCTTCAAAATTTCATGCCAACTTCAGCCCAAGTTGACGGATTTGGATTCTCTTTCCATCATTTTCTCCTCTACTACTCTCTTTTTCTCTTTATAACTATAGGATCAAAATTCTAATGATACAGATTTAATATCTTATAAAAATAATATTATTAAAAAAAATAAATTTAAACTGTTAAAATTTGGTTTGAATAATTCACAACTATAATAAAAAAAAATAAAAAAATTTGCTCCATAATAACAGTATGTAGCTATGAAATATTTAGATTAGATTTTAATAGTTTAAATTTATTTATCTATATTTTATAATGATATTTATTTTTATAAAATATTATAAAATATTAAATCTGAACCAATGATTGTAAAAAGAAAAAAAAGAATAGCAAAGAAGAAGAGGATGAGAAAGACAGAATCCAAAATTCCAAGTTGACTGATTAGGTAGTCACCAAACGCGCGAGGATTATACTTCAAAGGAGCCAGGGCCATTACCTTTCTTATCTGGGGCTAAGATGAAAATTTATTTGAAAAGTTTTCATTTAAAGGCAATATTTGAAAGTTTTTAGCTAGGAGTGAAAGTATTTTTAAATATAAATTTATATAAAATTTTAAAATTGTAATAATATTATTTATATTATTAAAAAACTAATATTGACTATTATTAATGAGGTTGACTCTTTATATTTTTAACAATAAAGGTAATATTATCATGATTTTAAACTTTTCAAAAAAATTTCCTCCCAAAAAAACCTTCCACTCTTTTTTTAATAAATCAGAATATCCTTAAATCATTTTGGGCTTGAAACTAATTTCTGTTGGGCCATAAATGTTAAAGTTGAATTTCTTATGAGAAATGCACTTCTTAGGATTTGAATTTGTATTCTTTTAAGTGAGATTGCTTTTGAATAAAATTTTTATAAACAAATATACACCTTAACCTTTTTTTTCCCTGCCTTTTTCTGATCGAGGAGTCTATAGATTTCATAACATTTTACCTATTCTTCATTTTTTGTTGTGTCTGCCTCAAGCTCGTCAATCTAGGCCGGCCCTGTTGAGTGTTGATCAACAATGGCGCTCTCTCTCTCTCTCTCAAAATTACAAATAAATGTCCTAATAATGAGAAAGTCCTTTTTGTGGGAAAATTGAAAATAATCCAAAAGAATGTAAAACATCTGTTCTATTTCTAAGCTTAGGAAACTGTATAAACATTATTTCTCTGCCAAATTGAACACAATAAAATACTTATTTCTTGGTATTGCTTTGTTCATTGAAACTTTTACATGCTGTATCTAGAATCCGCAAACTGATCCTTGCTTTCTCCCTAATCAGCTTCAGATAGAATGCATTCCATTCTCTAAATCAAACAATAACCATATCTCGTTTACCCTCTCATCAACCTCAAAAGGGTCATTATATTGAGCAACAGTATAAACAGAATTATGTCCAGCTCTGTGGCTCTTTTCAATGGCAGAAGACCACTTAGTGCCTGCAATACTGGCATTCAATGCAGCCGCTTCCGGCCCAACGTTTGAATCTTTCACAAACCCACCGAACTGCCTCACTGCTGCATACACAGGCTTCCATCTTTGGATATGGAGATCCTTTGCAGGCGGAGGGTTTGCTTGGTTCTTCTTCGGAACAAAGAAGCTTACCACAAATGAGGACTCACACAAAGATCCACCACTAGGTGATACTTCAGTGACCACAGGTCCTGTCATTTCAATTTTTTGCTTGTAGTCGTTCTTGCCCTGAATATAATCAAACAACCTGTAAAACATGAAGAGGGTGCACAGGATTAATGAAAGACTCACATTCATTATATTTGTTCTTGTTTAGGACTTGATTAGCCAAAACTCAAGTCTTTATTATTAAATTTACTGATGGATATAAAACTTATTGGCATTTTGTTTCTTTATAGATCAGCACAGCCATTGACTCGTCCATAACTGGTTCCATTGCATGCCACGCTTCAATTAAAGTCAGGCAGCTAAATTACTTCTGTTCCTCGCTGTTATAAAAAGATGAGCACTCATTGAATACAGAGATAGTATTTGGGAGGGTATAACCCAAAGATGAGGTGAGATTTGATCAAAATAGAACCCCAATTTCCGGTTAATAATGAATGGCTGGTGGATATCAGTTGGATGTATGTAAAGTTGAGTCTAGCTTTTGTAGACTCCCTGCACTGTCATTTGACAAAGTTCTCATCTTACAAAGTACAACAGTTTAGCCCGTTGAAGGCTTATAATATTAATAAGCGTTAACAAGTGAATATAAATCTATTAAATTTGCACAACCCTTATCCAAATTAAAGGGGAATTTTGAGAAGAACAAATCAAGTATGAATACTATTAGTGAATTTGAGAAGTTGAAAGTTACTAAATCCCCAACAAAATAGTATAACTATTAACTTCACTTATCCAATGAGACAAACATGTATCTTATCTATTTCGTTATTGACTTTCATAAATACATGTTCAATTCTTGAAAAGTTTTTCCCACAACATGCCTTCATCGTATCCATGACAGTAATCAAACAAGTAGCGAGTAAAATATGCAGATGCCTCTTTAGCCAAATAATAATAATAATAATAATCAAGTTGTTAAATAAGTACTTCTCTAGTTCTATTTATAAGGCAAAAAAAGAACTTTTTTTGGTCCTATTTTTAGAGTATCGAGAGAAATTTTTTATATGAATATATAATTTTAGTCTTTATTTATTATTACGTTGATTCTGTTTACAAGATATATAATATATATTAAATAATGATAAAATTAGAAAGTTCTTAACTTTTAAATGAGATTTAATAAAGTTAAAGGTTTTTTTTATCTATGTGAAATATGTTAAAAGTGATTTATAAATAGAACTATATGAGTATATCCTAAAGTCCTGAGTGAGTCTGTAGTGAGCGAGAATTTGCCAGCATTTTCAGCAGCCAACCACTAACAGTAGATTAATGTGCAATGAGTCAAAAAACAGAAAGGACTCCATCGTGTATTATGAAACATGGTTCACCAAACTTAAATCATAGTCCTTCCGATCCTAAATCTAAGACTCATTTTGTAGTGCAAATATAAGATCTATTTTATAGTGTAATTTACAGTTTTATATGTAGGACCGCAGGAGTACATCAATTAATCTTCAATGGACTACGGCTAAAACGAAGAACCAATCCAAAACTTCTGAAATTCCCAAAAAGAAATACCTCCGACAGAAGAAACTTACCTTGAGAATCCAGTTCCGGTTGCTTTAACAAGAGAAATGTCTTGAATGGGGGAAGTTGAGGCCCAGACAGTGGAATTATAATGGCGGATTTCGTAGCCGTTGCCGGCATAAATCACATCGTAGGAGGGACACTCAATGCGCTTGCATGTTGGAGGAACTTTCGCGAAGCTTGAAACCGATGCGAAGAGGAGGACCAATAGCAGCGAGAGCTTCAATTTCGTTAGAGTAGTGGTCATGGTCGAATGATACTCACGATACTGTGTGCTTCTTCTACACAAGCTTCAAAGATTCAAATGGACGAAGCTACGAACTTCGATGACTGCGAAGAAGCAACAAAGTGGTGACGCTGATTTATGGGAGGGTCTGATTTCGAGCCAATAAAAAATAAATTATCTAATAAAGTTTTGAAAATCTGGAAGTATTAATGCTAATATGAATGAATGTATTAATAAGAGCTAAAACAGAAAATAAGTTATTTAATGCAGTCTTGAAAATCTGAAAATATGAATGCTAATGAATGTAGTATTAATGAGCAATAGAATTAGGCGATAACATATTTAATACTGTGTGGTCCTATCTTTAATATAAAAACTAATTAATTAATTTGAATATATTAAAAAAATTAGTTAAATTAATTATTTGCAATAAAATAGATGTTGTCCTTCTTAAAATATCTTTGCTAATCAAATGTATTTGTTAAAACTATTATTACAAGGATTACCTTGAAAAACATAGATAAATACGAGAGACAAAGTAGATTAGAGTTTTACATTTATAACCAAAATAAAATTCAAACAAATCCTTATATTAAGGATAGGAGGTAGTACTACACCCGTAAGAGTTTGTTTAACTTTTATTTGGTTATAAATATAAGACTTTAATCTACTTTATTTGTTATATTTATCTATTTTTTCAAATACTTCTTATAATAATGGTAGTTTTAGTAATACATTTAATTAGTAAGGATGTTTTAAGAAATACAACACATATTTATTTTAAATAACTAACTTGACTAATTTTCTTAATCTACTCAAATTAATGAATTAGTTTTTATATTAAGAAACGGAGATAATACATTCTTGATACCTGAAAATGATGAACGCTAATGAATGCATAAATAAGAATTAAAATATTCCTCTAGTCCTATTTATAGTGGAGAGAGAACGAATTTTCCGATCCTATTTATAAGATAGTAAGGTAGAGTGAAATATTTTTATACAAATTTACCATTCATTTATTATTTTATTGATTTTGCTTAATGTATATTAAATATGGATAAAATTAAAAAGTACTCACATGGTCCTATTTATAAGTCACTTCTAACATGTTTTGCACAGACTAAGAAAAACCTTAAATTTCATTAACTCTAATTTAAAATTCAACAATTTTCCAACTTTATCCCTATTTAATATACATTATACCTTATATAAACAAAATTAATACAATAATAAATGAATGGTAAAATTATACATCTATATAAAAAAAATTTCTCAATACCCTAGAAATAGGACTAAAAAATATCTTCTCTTTTTATCTTATAAATAGGGCTAGAAGAATAGTTGAAATTTAAGACAAAGCTAATAAAATTTAAGGTTTTTTTTTTGTGTAAGTATAAAACATATTGAAAATGATTTATAAATAAGAGGAAACTAAAAGGAAATAAACTATTTAATACTACATTCTTATTACAATAATGAGTACATCTACATGAGTTTAGAAGATTTCGTCAGTTTTCCTTGATCAACAAACAGTTATTAAAAATAAAATACTGCCTCCTAAAATAAGAGTTAATTTGTAGTGTAATTTGCATTTTAAACTAGCTCTTTTAATTATTAATCCTTCAATTTCTCTTTATAAGCAACAACTAAGGATGGAGACAAGCCAGCCCGGGCCAGGTATTACTCTTAACAGGCTAGGTCTATTTTGTAACCTATCAACTTAAACTTAGGTTGTGGCCTGTTATAAGTTTATTTTTCAACCTGAGCCTAGCCTAGCCTAAAACCTGTTAAAAACCTGTATTTTTTTAAAAATTCAAATTATAGTTATGTTTTTTTAAAAATCCAAGATTAAAAAAATTGTACATAATAATTAATTTTTTAGTCTTGTCTTTTATTTAAATTTTAGTATCATAAGTGCTATTTTAAATCTTAATTACAATTTACAAAGATATTATTGAAAACTAGTTGTAATTGTATGTTAAAATTTGAAACAAGACTATGTTTAAGTACACACAAAAAAATTAAGACAAATAAATAAAGAGAAAAAAATATTAATTTTACAATGAATAAAGAGGGTATAATTTAATTAACAGAATACATAGGTTAATTAATTTATCATTCTTAAAACAAAATTTTTCTTTCCTATTTTATTTATATTTCTAAGATTTAAAGATCATATTATTTATTGATATTATTATTTTAAATTATATTTTTATCTTTACTTGTCAACTAAATTTCAAAATCTAAGGAAGGATTAAGCTGTTAACTACATATTAAAATTAAAAATTAAATTAAATTAAAAGAGCACATTAACAATAGTATCATTAACTAATTTTTTTATATATTATAATTATAAATTTCTAACAGACCCAGGCAGGCCTAACAAGTTTAACAAACTTTTTAGAGAGCCTAAGCCTGGCCTATTTGGTTAAATAGGCCTTCAAACAGGCCTCAGCCTATTTTTTTTTTAGAAAACAGGCCAAGCCAAGTCATAAGCCTCTGATATGCCACTTGACCTGTTTTAACCTCTAGCAACAACTACCATTTTTTTTTGTTTCTAAATATAAATAATATTTGCAAGTTGTCTTAAAATTTGTAACATATTTTCTATTTTATTCCCATTAATTACTTATTTTAATACCAAATATATTTATTATCTTATTTCTTAAACTATCATCTCTCTCCATCCACATTCTCTCTCTTTCATAGTTTTTTTATTATAATAATTTTCTTATTCTCTTTCTTATCTCTTCCCCATAAATAAAGGTTTTTTGGAGGAAAAAACTTTTAATTTTTACCTATTTATTATCTTTAATTTACTTTTTGATTTACATGATAAAGTTGAGGTTGCTTATAAAAAGGGATGAAGAGAGTATAATACAAACTAGTTATTATATTTAGGACTCAAAGTAGTATATGATTAGATGTTAATCTTTTGATCCTATTTAGAAGGCAATTCTAACATATTTTATACAAACTAAAAAAACCTTAAATTGCATTAATTTTCAATTAAAATATAATAACTTTTTAACTTTACTCATATTTAATATATGTACTTTTCAAAAGAAATAATTATCTACACTATAATAAATGAAGGATAAAATAGTATATTCACAATAAAAATTTATGAGTTAATATAATCTTTGGTTCTTTGAGTTTGCTCTTATTTTGATTTTGGTCTTTCAAGTTTCAAACCATAGGTTTTGATTTCTAAAAGGGTAAAATAGTTCAAGTTTTTATTAGATTATAGGAACCAATGTTATAAATGAAAAGAAACTTGCACTACAAAAAAATAACTGATTAGCGATAGAATTTGTGACGGAAACAAATTCCGTTGCTAATTTTTTCGACGGATTAGCGACGGAATTTCTGTCCGTTGCTAAATTCCGTCGCTAATCCGTCGAAAAATCCGTTAGTAAATATTTAGCGACGGAATTTTTTCTGTCGAAAATTTCCGTTGCTAATTCTGTCGCTAAATTGTTTGTCATAGAAGTTTTTGTCACTAATTCCGTCGCTAATTCTATTTCGTCACAATTCTGTTGCTAATCCGTCGCTAATTTTAAATTTCATTATTTTAAATTATAATCTTACAAAAATTATATTATAACAATTAAGAATATAATGATTTAAAAACATTTTTAATTATAAAATAAATTGATATACTTATGGAGTTGGTGTTAATGAAGATATCGTCATCATTCATGTCATCATTATGTATATACTGAAAATAGAAAGATAATTTCTTAGAAAACTTATTTATATTTTGTTAAAATAAATTCCTCTTGATTATTAATAATAATTAAAAAATACAATAAGAATATTAATAACTTTTTACACAAACTGATATAAGAAAGAAATAATTTTATCATATGTAAAATATATTGAAATATATAATATATGATAGAAATTCAAAACGATTTAATAAATTTATATGAATGCAAATTAATATTGAAGTGAATTTTGAATTTCAATCATTAAACAATAAAATTTAATCACTATATAAGTAATACCCATGATAGATTGATTTTGGTCTTAATACAAAAACAAATGGTATATATAAAAAATTTTAAGAAAATAAATTACATAGGATATATATACAAGTAGGAGAATACTGTTTATCATAATCTATTCAAATCATTTAATTTTTTATATAGAATAATTTATTAGATTTTATTATAGTAGTTATTTTTTGAATAACAAGATTTTTTGACTAATTATAAATGATTTTCTTCAAATATATAAAACACATATAGATAATATAATATAATGTAATATAATACATATATCATTAAATTGTATATCTTATCAATGTTAATTAAAAAATATTTATAAAAAAATTATTTATGATTTAAAATTCAAGATTAGTGCGGTTAGAATTTAAAATTGTGTTAAAAATATTTTTTTAAAAATAAAAAATTATAAAAAAAATGTTGAAAAATTATTTTTTCATTAAAATAGTTATGATTAAAATTATCATATAATATATTTTTAGTTTTTAATAATATATATAATTGTTTGTGAATGGATTAGTGATGGATTAGCGACGGGAAATTTCCGTCGGTAATTAGCGACGGAATTTTCCGTCGCTAATCCGTCACTAATTAGTGACGGAATTTCAATTCCGTCTCTAATCAATTAGCGACAAAGGAATTAGCGACGGAACAAATTCCATCGCTAGTTCCATTGCTAAATAAAAATTCGTCACTAAAAGCATGTTTTTTTGTAGTGTTCAGGGACCAAAACCTACAGTTTGAAATTTGAGAGACCAAAACCAAACTAAAGATAAACCTGAAGGACCAAAGTTTATATTAACCCAAAATTTATTGAGGTGACTTATAAATACAATCAAGAAAAATATTCTTTCTTTACTTTATAAATAGGACAAGAGAAGACTCCTATTAAATACTACCAAAAGATTTTTTTCTTTTGGGACTGAATTCTCTCCGCGTTCTATAAAATGAGATAATGAATTCTTCCTAATGCATGTTCAGCTTGCTTAACTCAATAAAAATAATAAACTTTGCGAGTTTTAATTGAATTCACAGTTAGCACAGATGTAAAAATGTAACATCACTGTACGCAAAAACATAGTCATTCCCGAATAATGCCATTTTCTCTTTATTTTGTTTTATCAAGGTGACCACTCATTTACCGTCTTTTGGCCTTTTACATTTTTTCTTGTCTATGGCCATTGGCCCGCGCCCGTCAATATGGGCACTGTTGACGAACTAAACTTCAGAGTTCTTGGTGTTACCCATATTGGCCTATTCATAGCCTGCTCATTGAAATTTAACATGCAATATCTAGAAACAACAAATTGATCTTTGCTTTCTCCCAAATCAGCTTCAGCTAGATTGCCTTCCATTCTCCAAATCAAACAAGAACCATATCTCATTTACCCTGTTATCATACTCTAGAGGGTCATTATACTGAGCAACAGTATAAACAGAAGCATGTCCAGCTCTGTGACTCTCTTCAATGGCAGAAGACCACTTAGTGCCAGCAATACTGGCCTTCAATGCAGCAGCTTCCTCCCCAACAGTAGAATCCCTCACAAACCCACCGAACTGCCTTACTGCTGCATACAAAGGCTTCCATCTTTGGACATGGAGATCCTTTGCTGTAGGAGGATTTGCTTGGTTCTTCTTTGGCACAAAGAAGCTTACCACAAATGAGGACTCGCAGAAGGGTCCATCAATAGGTGATACTTCAGTGATCACAGGTGCAGTCATCTCAATTTTTTGCTTGTAGTTGTTCTTGCCTTGAATATAATCAAATAATCTGTAAAACATGAAGATGGGTGCACTAGATGAATCATGGGCTCATTTGTTATACTTTGGCTTATTATTTCTAATTTAGGACTAGACTAAAGCAAAACTAGCTCGTCAAGTAGTCTCTGTTGTCATCAGTTATATGGAGAACATATAATTTATTGGTATTCTGTTTTTACAAATCGGCACCAAACACCATTTCATGAAAGGTTGCATTGCATTTCCTGCATCAATTACAGAAAAGAAGCTAAAATTCTTCTATTCCTCGCTTATATCAAAAGATGAGCAATCATTGAATAGAAGTACTTGGTAGCTCAAACGCAAGATCAAAATAAACCCGCAGTGTCTGACTAATAATAATGAATGATAACAATAGTCATACGAGTAGCAAGCAAAAGTTGAAGGGCCTATCGTAACAATGAACTTCACTAATCAAGGAATAAAATATGGATCTTCTAATCTTCAACAGGACTTCATCACCAACTTAGTACCAAAATACTCATCTCTCTCACCACTAAACAAGTTTAACAAAAATCTAAGACAAAATGTTTGAATAATCAACTTCTCGTTTCAGCTAGAACTATGGTCAATAGCCTGATACTAACAATATATTAACACTCTGCAAGTGAAAAGTTTCAAGAACTCAATCCATTAGTAATAAAATTTGTCCAACAAATAGACTTGTTGATCCGAAAAACAACAAATACTTCAGAAATTCCCATAAAGAAAGAAAAAACATCCGAGAGAAGAAATTTACCTTCGGAATCCAGTTCTGGTGGCTTGAACAAGAGAAATGTCCTGAATGGGGGAGGTAGAGGCCCAGGCGGTGGAATTATAGCGGCGAATTTCAAAGCCGTTGCCCTGATGAATCACCTCGTATGAAGGGCACTCGATGCGCTTGCATGTCAGAGGAACCTTCGCCAAGCTTGACACTGATGTGAGGAGGAGGCTCAGCAACAGTGAGAGCTTCAATTTCGACAGTGTCGCGGCCATGGCTGAACGATGCGTCCGATACTGTGTAGTGTGGCGCGCCTCCCCGAAGCTCATAAGAAGGCTCGTAAAGATGACGCTCTCTGATTTTCTATGGCCGCAGAGAAACAGCGCCCCCGGATTTCGAGCAATCGTGGCCGTTCATAAATTATATGGTCCACATGTAGCCACGTTGCACAGCACATTTGGAATCAATGTGAAAAAACACTCTAACACTACATGGTCCTCAATATAAAAACTAATTAATTAATTTGAGTAAATTAATATAAAAACTAATTAATTAATTTGAGTAAATTAAGAATACTAATTAATTTAGTTATTTGCAATAAATAGGTATTGTCTTTCCTAAAATATCATTTTAATCAAGTGCATTATTGGTTAGAATTATCATTATCACAACGACTACACCTTAAAAAAATGAATAAATATAAAAAATAAAGTGAATTGGGGTCTTATATTTAGAATCAAATAAAAATTAAACAAGGTTTTATATTAAGCACAGGAGGTAATAAATAGCCACTAATATCCTAAATTTTAGTGTAACGCAATTTTGTTCATTAACTATAAGAAAAAACCAATGAGAAAAATCTCCAAACCTTAACGTAGGAGAAGTTCGGCTTTTTTTTTACCCAAAAAAAAAAAAAGTTCGGCTTTCATATGCTGTGCCATGTGTAAATATGCGAAGAGTAAAAATATTGATATATTATAGATATCGCTATTGATTTCTTAAATAAATCGAATTCACGATTTAATTAATGGAAATTGTATCAGCTTACTAATAAATTATAATTCACTGGACAATTTTCCCCAAAATTACTGTTATTCCAATCAGACTCAAAAACGGGCCGATGGCACGGGAAAAAAAAAAACAAACTCAACTGAATTAGTGAATTTTAAAGTGATTATATGCGTCAACATATAAGCAAAGATTAAACTTTCAAAATACATGCCCATTACAATTCAATCTGAAATAAGAATATATTGTAAATTGCTCCAATAAGAAAGAATACATATGTACTACTGTAAGGTTAAGATCTGTGGATTATTTGGCTCAGTCCACGTGTTTGAATCTATAAATTCCATATCTTGTGGTAGTAAATTACAAACAAAATCCTTCTACTCCTCCGATCCTTAATATAAGACCCATTTAACTAATTTGATTAGATTAAGGAAGTTAGATAAGTTACTTAATTATAAGAAATATGACACGTTTTTTCTAAAATACCATAAGCATCTTTCTTAATACCCCCTCTTTCTCTTCTATTTGATTATGGTTGAGGGAGTATCATAGGAGTAATTTAGAGAAAATTGATAAATATGAAAAATGAGTCTTATATTTAGGACCAAAACCAACTCAACAATTAGATCTTATATTAAGGACCGGATGAGTAATAATTAAGTTGGATCTAGCATAAGGGTTAATCACTCGTAATATAGCAACTAAAAATTGGAATTATTATTAAGAGAGCTACTAAAAAATACGGGAAGCAAATTAGTCATAGAAATTTGCAAATTCTTTCACCAAAAAAAAAAAACTATCCCTAATTGATTAGTGGTAAAATTCCATCGCTAAGCTAATTAAGGATATAATTTTTTAGTAATTTGCTGTTTTTTTAATATACCCACATTTGACAAACAATAATGTCTCAAACAAAATTACATCTAATAAAAAGATATATGTGCGTCTGCTAAAAAAGTCCTTCTAGACTTACCAAAGATTAGGTGTAAACCAAAAACAATGATACCAATATCGTTTTAATGAACAATTTGATTCACTGATATGAAAAGATCGAAAACTCTTATCAGATAAGCAGAATACTTTAATATCTGTCCCTTCGGCAAAATATACACAATTTCTGCTGACATTTTCCATCTGCAAACCAACAGTTGAGATTAATCTGCAGTTTATTAGGTCAAAAAACACCAAACAATCACCCAAATCTTCAATCTCAACCCATCGAACACCTTCATCATTATTCCTGTCGAGCTTCATCACTCTGAATTCTTTTATAGAATCAAAATAAGCACGATTTCCAAATAAAAATCTGCTCAACCCCGAATCATATCTGGTCACAACAAGCATTAAATCTCCAGAAACTTCATCATGAGCTAAGTAGATATCTTCATAAGCACGAAACAACACGTCATCTTGACGAACTCGTGGCTTAGGATCAAGAACAACAAGCTTTTGATGAGCCATTATCGGATTATCATCATCAAGATTATAAATTTCTATGCAATCTAATCTTGTTCTGTGACCTAGTACATATAATAAATTTCCAATGACTATAATGTCCGACAAATCCATGCTTCCTCTCTTAGTTTTAATCAAACTCCATGAATTGTCTGTAATTTTACAGTAAACGATCCTATTTTCTGCAAGACACGCCACAAAAATGGAGTCACCCTGGCGATTATTATTATCACTTGGTGCAGAATTGGCCACAATCTTTTTGATGATAATGTAACTGAGATCTTTCGTTATTAAGGGTAAGTTAAATCTTTCATGTGATACTGGGTTGAAGAAGAAGGGTAAAGAACAAGTTTCTGTAACTTTAACCATAATTAACCAACCACCAACTGTGCCTAGAACACGTTGGCTTCTGGGATATAGACGTCTTTTAGGGTGAAGGATTCTTTGGTTGTTTACTTCAACTAAGTAAGGATCCTGGCGAGAAAATACCCATTTAGGGCATAGAAGAAGCAATGGAATTTGAGGATTAGGATGGCATTGTTTGGTTTTTATGGCACTGTTTAGTGAAGCTTTCCAAGATGAACAAACCAGGCCAAAGTTTAAGAAGTCAGCGAGGCATAATCTTCTTACAATTGATTCTGAAATATCTTGGGGAAGATCTTGCCACTTGCTAGTACTTTGATCTTGATCCTGATTTTCTGTGTTGTTTTGCGATTTATGAGTTTGAATTTGAGTCTCCATATATTAATAATCTGAGCAAAGTCCACAAGATATTTGAAAAATTTTGAATATATGATCACTAAGAAGAAAATATATCTATGTCATTTAAAAATACAGAGAGAAGTTGAAATGTCAATTATGACATGAGTTATAGACTAAAATTATATATACAAAATTAATATTTACAAAGTCATTATCCAAAAAATGGTATTAGAAAAAATTTACAATGATTTGAAATTATCATGTCCCTGATCAACATATCTAAATATTACAAAATAAATTTAATTAACAGATAACTGAACATGACAAAAATTTACTCATCATTTGATGGTTGAATTTATGATGAAAACGATTTGAAGGTCAATGTGTTTCATAATAACTCCGAGTCCATGTAATTTCAAATACGACAAAAAAAAAGAAGGAAAAATCAATATTTTTTGGCACTCGTTTTTTCCCCCAAATTTTTGAATGGAAAAAAAAAAAACCCTATACCACATAAAAGAGGTAATGAGTGGTAGAGCGTATAGGACTATGGGAGGTAGGGTATTTTATTTTTTCACCATCAGAAAAATTAAAGAATTGATGGATTATTTCATGTATATCAAATTAAATTGATTTATGCATTGTCCCCTTCAATTTATTTATTTTTTAAAATATGTTTCAACAAAAAAAAAGGAAAAGGAATGAAGAATTTCTCATCCACACACGTTCTCATTGTGTTGTAGGGTTTGAATCCTAAACCTCTTTTCAAAACCGATGTATATGTAATGAAACTTTTCTGATCCACACACACATTAATGAAAATATATTAGCTTTTCTGGTTTGCAGGGAAACTGTTACCCAAATTTTAAATGTTTCTTCTTCTTCTTTTTTCTGGAAAAAATTTAAGAATAAAAAGAATGGAAAGTATAGAAAAAGAAAAAAAAAAGTACCTGAATATCAAACACTTGAGTCCTTTTAGTCATCAGTCATCCAAATTCCATCATCCGTTCTGAGTGTATTGTTGGGCAACATATGACTGCGGGACAAGGATTTTATAGAGAGGATTTGATATGTTTTATTTTAATTTTTGTGATTATGATATATAGTCCAAATGTGTTATTAAGTTATATCTTATTTTGGATTTTGGATTTGATAAAATCTGAATAAAATATGCGCCGCTGGTAAATTAAGATTAAGTAATGATAATGATTAATAAATAGTTTAAATAAATATTTACATACTTACGATTTAAAATAACAATATCCAGGAATTTTCCATTTATAAATCTGATAAGATCTTCTCCCATTATTCTCCATGATTTAATCAGAAATTATTTATAATTTATTTATAAAAAAAGAAATTAATTATAATTTAACTAAAAATCATTAAAATTGAATAAAAACAAAACAAGAAAAAAGGAGATTCGTGTGTTTTTAGGGCCCTCCTTCCTTTTTCACAGTTAGATCATTATTATATATATGAATTATTTAGATTTGATCATTAAATTTTTTAAGGCAACCTATGTGGAAAGCTAACCCCATTTTTTGTGGGAGGGAAATAAATGGGAGGGGAGAAAAAATTTTAATGAGTTTAATTTAAAATAATAGAGAGGTGAGACTATAAACAAGTAATTAATAAAGAGAAGATGTAAGATAAAAGACTAAGAAAAATTAATTAAAATTTTAATCCCATTGTTTTGAAAATTCTTTAAAATTGTATTTGTTAACAATTTTTATCCTCTCCGTTTTTCCTAGTTATACCAAATACAGGGTAAAATTCCAATTCCAAAAAAAAAGAAGAAGAATTTGATCACCAAAATCTTTAAAGATGCGTATCCTAGGATTTATAAGAATAATGAGAGGGATATCTTTGACTTTTTGGAATAAACGAAAAAAGGGATCAAATCTAAGGTAGATAGAGACAAGGAGGAATCTAGATTATAGTGTAATAATTAATAATATATAGCATCTCAAGATTATAAGAATGTTCTTACTTTTCGTTGCACTAGCAACGCTTAATTTTATGCATGTTTGTAGGAGGGGATGAAGAGGGCATATGGCTTGTAGAGGAATTAATGAGAGAGGGATTGGATGCTGATTCTGCTTTTATGGCAGAATTCTTACAGCTATGTTGGAAACTTTGACGGTAGGGAAAAAATTCAAGGGCACATTGATTGTGTTTGGTGAATATAATGGTAGCCAAGGCTATGAGAAGTATGGTACCTTTGGGATGGCTGAAGAAGCCATCATTTTCTCTGGTTTCAATTCTTTTATGTGATCTTCATGGTATTGTTGATTGTGGAGTTCATCAACAACAGCAATTATTTATGGCTTGTTAGGATTCATATTGGTAAAAGTTACTCATATCTCAACTGATTCTTGTGAAATGAAATTAGAATAAAAATTAATTGGTATAATGTGATTTATATTTAGATAGATTTTAATTTTTTAAAAAAAGTCAGGTAGGCATAACCTTGTTTAGATGAAATATTTAGATATAAATATAAAAAAGTCAACAGCCATGTAAAAGTCAAATGTCAGAAAAAGTTACTTTAATTTTAAAATAACTTTTGAACTAAAAAAAAAAAAACAGTTGGCCTAAATGCCATACCAAACATAATATTGGTTTGCAGTCTTCCAAACAAGCAATCTTGGGTTTGGCAATTCCCACCTAAACACCTATATTTTGATTATAAGATCCTAAACTAAAATCACATACCATTCTTGGTTTTTAATATAAGATCTACTTTACAGTTCAAATTGAATTATAAAATAGATCTTATATTAAGAACCAGAAATGATATTTTGATTAAAATCAATTATCCATCAATCTTATTTCTCATAAATAACCCCCACATATATTCCAGGTACATTTGGATTAGCGTTAGGTGAAACAAAAGCTTGTAGAATTGAGTTAAACAAAATAGGGTGTTTGGATAAATTTTTTGGGAAAAAAATAATTAAAAAAAGTAATAGTAACTTATAAGATAATTATGGTTTTGGGTTCATGTGTTAAGCATCAGAAAAAAGGTATAGGCTAAGGTTGAGTTGTTCTAATTCTGGTTTGATAAGGTTGTTAATTAGGAATGTTTTTGTTTTCTTTATTAAGTCTATTAGCTTACTGACGTAATGATTCTTTTTTAATAGTAATAAAATTGACTTCTCCTGCTCCATAAAAAGAGGCACTTGGATTGTCTGGAACCAAAATTTCTTTTCAGTTCATCTTTATATTGCTTCTACTTATATCTTTTTTATTTTTTTGCCTACAGATTCACTTATATCTTATCCAGATATACTCTCCACATTTATCATTAATTAAACACACATCTTCTAAATAATAATATGAGACTTTAGCCAAAGAAAAAAATGAGACAGAGAATAAATATGGTCCATTTTTCTCTCAACTTGTTCTCTCACAATATTCTTTTCAAATTCACATCAAGATTTGATCTCTTAAATTTAGAATACGACGAAATTGTACCATAATCAAATCAACTAATTGCCTCGATAATGAATATATTATATATGCATGCAAATCTTGAATTTACCTTCCATCCGGGAAAAAAGAATTAAAACTAAATAATTCTAATATTTCCCCTGTTATAGACAAAATAGTTATTTCATTCAATTTATCTTGCAGTGTATTAATTTCCTACATCCCTAGCTCATTGTAAAGCACAACTTTTGTGGGATATCTAATTATAGGTCTTCTTACAAAGAGTAAGGAATAATTGACATTTATCCTGAAATGCCCTAATTAATAAATTATGGAAAAATTAAGAATTTAAATTTTAAAGGGATTTGAAGTTGTATGTATGTTTCATTGAAGGCAAAACTAAAAAGAAGGAAAATATTTTAAAACATCAACTGAACTTAACTGTTTTCTTGATATATGTGATTAGGTAAATTGAACTTAAAACCACATTTTTTAACCTGAACTGACAAATTTTTGGTTAAAAAAAAAATAGCATGTCGAATCTGTGTTTTAATAATTCAGTTTTGTTGGATTATGTATAGTTTTGTATATGAATATTCCATTTATTTCCGAATTAATGCATTTTTATTTAAGTATTATGCTTCTTAGGGTTATAAATAAATATTCTATATTTTAGTGAAATTATATTATTTCAAGGATGATCAGTTTAATTTCAGTTTGAATTACTAATCATCTTGCTACCGCCTAACCGATTTAATAACCGATTTCGGTAATTAGTAAGCTGTGGCTTATCACTTATGATTAGAAACGAAAGGATGAGTCCTTTCAGATAGTATATATTTAAATAACTTTAATTTTGAAAAACTTTTAATGGCAACAATTTATTGTCTATAGTATTTTACAACTAATACATAAACTTGGAAAACAAAAACTTGGGATTGCATGGTCGTGAAAACTTGGTTTTTATGTAGTTAATGATCTCTAAACAAGTTTTTGTTTTCTGCTTTTTAAAATCACAGAAATAAGAGTGACTTGCTGTCGCTTTCCCTCTAATCTTTCGATATATTTTTAACATTCTAATTAAAGTATTAATTTATTCTGTTGTCCTATTTTTCATATTTTTATTTTAAAAAATAAATCAAAACCATCGAGATGTTCACAAAAACTTAAAATTCTTTTAAGATTAATATAAAATTTTTCATTTATTCTTATTTAAAGTTTTATTGTTTTTATCCAAATAAAACAACAAACATTGGAATGGAAGTGACTGCTTGAGACAGTGAGACTTGGGAGGGCAATGAAAAAATAATTATTCAAAAAGGGATTTCATATGATAAATATTCGACGTAAAAAGCACACACACGCACATATATATACCTTTAAAAACAAAATTATGATAAAAAAATATACCCCTATTCTAAATGTAGAAGCTAAATAACTAATTTGAAATAATTTAAAAAATTATAATTAAATTAGTTATTTGTTAAAAATGTGTGTGTTGGTTTTTCAAAATATCCCTTTTAATCTTTTGTATTGTTAGTAAAAAATTTGTTAAATATGTGCAATCAATAGATAGAGTTTAAAAAAATTATAAATTTAGAAATAAAAAGGGTTGAGATTTTCGGTGCAACCTAATCTGAACGTGTTCTTATATCTAATCTGAAGGGTACAAATTTATGTTTTTTTTAACTATTTTTTGAAAATAATTATTTTAATGGATATTTAATCTAAAAAATTTTTCTTAACTTCCAATTTTACAAAAAAAATAATTTTATTTCATCTATTGAAAATTTTAGGTATAAATTGTAAAAAAAGTATATTTAAATGTTATAAATCTCATCATGGAGCTGGGGTCCAGATTGTTGACACCCTGTTTATTTGCTATTTACTCTTCTTGTCCTATTTATATGATAAAAAGAAAAAAAAATTTTGGTTCTATTTATAGAGTATGAAGAAAAAAATTTTATATGAATATATAATATTATTCTTCATTTACTATTATATTGACTTGGCTTCTATAAGGTATAATATATACTATATGGAGATAAAATTAAAAAGTCATTAAATTTTTAACCGAGAATTAATAAAATTTAAGATTTTTTTTGTAAAACATATTAAGAATGACTTATAAATAGAATGAAAATAAAATCATCCTACTAATCACACCAGGCATATAACAAGAGATCTTATAGCTTCGTTGTTCATGTTCCTTGGCTTTCTTTTTTTTTTTTTTTTAGTTTCCCTTTATTCTTTTTCAACGGGGTTGAAGACTTTACAGCCGACAATGTCACTCCTACCACAGCCAGAGCCAACGAGCCAAAAAAAGGTGGGAAAAAAAAACCGATATTAAAGAAGAGGGTTTTGACTTTTGACTTTCTTTTTATGCACACCTGACTTTTTTTGTTTTCTTTTCCATTTCTCCCCTGTTCTTCCATGTATTTGTTGGCGTTGATTACAGAAAATCTAACACCTTCAAATTCTCTCTCTCTCTCTCTCTCTCTCGCCCGCCTAACAGTACTAGATTTTTGGTATATAAATAGCTACTAACCCAACCTTCTTTACCAATAAGCATTTTCTTGTCTTTCATCCATTGAGTCTAATCTTCTCTCCCTCTCTCCCTCTCTCTCTTTGTTAGATTAAGATCCAAAAGCCGACAACAATGGTGGGATTGCCCAAACCCACAATGACAGAGCAATATTTCAGTGCCAATAATCCCTGCAAAGCAACCACATTTTTTTCTGGGATCCCTACAATTGACCTGAAAATCCCCCAAGCCAAGAGCCTCATGGTAAAAGCATGCGAAGACCTTGGCTGCTTCAAGCTCACCAACCATGGAGTCCCCATGGAAGCCATTTCTGAACTCGAGTCTCAAGCTGTGGATTTCTTCTCTCTCCCTCTTACCCTCAAACAGAGAGCCGGAGTTCCCAATCCATTCGGCTATGGCAACAAACATATCGGTCGAAACGGCGACGTTGGGTGGGTGGAATACCTTCTTCTCACAACAAACCCAGATTATAACTCTCTCAGACTCTCCCCTGTTTTTGGCACAAACACAGAGAAAATCCAGTAAGTAGAACTTAACTAGAATCCCTTTCAGCTTCAGTCGATTGTCGTTCTGATCATCGTTTGGGTGTTTTTTATGTGTTTCAGACGTGCGTTGAATAATTATATATCGTATGTGAGGAAAATGGTGTGTGAGGTTCTGGAATTGGTGGCTGAAGGACTGGAGATCGAGCCCAGGAATGTGTGGAGCAAGATGGTGATGAACGAACAGAGTGACTCTGTTTTCAGGTTGAATCATTATCCTCCATGTCCAGAGCTTGCAGGCTCCAACAATGGCGGAAACGTGGTGGGGTTTGGAGAGCACACAGACCCACAGATAATTTCTGTGCTGAGATCTAATAACGCTTCAGGATTTCAAATATGTCTAGGAGATGGAACTTGGGTTTCTGTGCCACCTGATGAATCCTCCTTCTTCATCAATGTTGGTGATTCTCTACAGGTAAATAACAGACTCGGATACTGTTCTGATATCAAAAGCATGCAAGATGTTCAATGGTTTGTTTGTTTGTTTATTCATTATTTAATTCTGTGACTTTTTGGACTCGAATGGTTTAAGTTTTATTTGATGTAAAAGAAGTTTTGACTTGGAAACCTGGGAGTTTGAAAACCTTAGAAACACTTAAAAAAATATTTTCATGTAAGTCGAGATTAAACTATTCGCATATACTTGTTTTGAACACAGTAAAATTGTTTTCAAAAAACTAATCCAAATATACTCCTGAAATCAGACTTTTCTAAGCTTCTTCAATTAGGATGTGCAAGTGGCTTATCCCCCCCTAAATAATACTCCTTCCCATCCTCACGATCTGTTTGGTACGAGGGAAATAAAAGAAAAGGAAAGATAAAGAAAATTTTAATGAGTTTGATTTAAAAAATTAAAAAAATGGGATTAAAGACTTTCAATTAATTTTTATTACTCTTTTATATTATTTCTTCTTTTTATTAAAATTTTAAAACCTCACTTCTCCAATTTTTTAAATAGAACTTATTAAAATTTTTCCTCCCTTCCCTTCTCTTCCCTTTCATTTCCCTCTTACCAAGCTGTACCTCAGGTGTGGTGGCACCAAACCTCTCTAAGAGACGGAGGTCATATCGTAAAAAATGTGCTATATGTTCGTGTGTTGATATATGTTTTGTAGATCTTCATTTGAACTTTAACCTATCAACAAAAAAAAAAAATCCTTCTCATTCTAAATATAAAAGCTTGTTGTGGGAATTGATTTGATTTTATTAAAAAAAGACTTCAATTATATTCGTTTTGTCTTCAAAATTTAGAATATTTTTCTTAAAATTATTCTTATTAATGTTGCACATAATAATGAGGACTTCTAATAATTTTCAATACAAATAATTAAATTAAAGGGATATTTTAGAATAATTAACACACATGTTTTTACAAATAACAATTTTAACTAATTTTGTTAGTTTATAAAATACTCTTTAGGTTCTTTTTTGTAAGATACAAATAACAGAATTGTGTAGAATAAAATGTCTGCTAAAGTCTAAACTAGGCAAATTAAAAGCAATAAATATGTAAAAAAAAATACAACTTACTTTTTAAAAACATCCTTATTTTTGACAAAAGTGGGTCCGGAAGAGGATCAGTGAAAAAAAAAAAGAGAATAAATAAGAAAAAGATATGAAAGCGATATATAATTAATTGAAAATAAAAAATATGTTAAATATTTAGGCATATCCAAAGTGTAACTAATGAAAAGTAACTTACCTATTTAAAAAATTGTAACTTGTAAAAAAGAATGGAGGGGATCAATACTTTAACTCTTACAGTTAAAATTCTTACATTTACCATCGGTGACAATAATGAATTTAAAGATTAAAATTTCTTTGAAAACTATGGAAATAATTATTATTGCTGTTGTTTTCATAAATTATAATCGACATTCTATAAAGTCAACAGTAACTTCATTTTTGCAATTTTTGTAATATTAGAAAGATCAACTTAACAAAATCATAATTGATTTCCATGACTTTATTTTGAATTTCAAAATTATTAACTTTTTGCCCTTATCGGTTTTAACAATAACACGCAGGTGATGACAAATGGAAGGTTGAAGAGTGCAAGGCATAGGGTTATGGCAAATGGGTTGAAATCAAGAGTTTCTATGATATTGTTTAATGGTCCACCCTTGAGTGAGAGAATAGCTCCGTTGCCTTCTCTTATCAAACAATCCAATCAACAAAGCCTTTACAAGGAATTCTCTTGGTTTGAATACAAGCAATCAGCCTATGCTTCAAGATTGTCTGATAATAGGCTTGCCCAATTTGAGATAACTCCTTCTCGTAAACTATTTTAACTGCAATTTTTTTGTTAATTTAGAATATCCTCAAGTCACTTTAAACTTGAGACTAATCTCTATCAGATCAAGAGCATTAAGGTCAAAGTCATTCCAACAAATGGGTTTTTTGGAATTCAAACATGTATTCTTCTTGTTACGAGGTGAGCTGCTTATCATCTCAACCAATAACCTATTAGTTGCAAGTTTATGTGTTTAAAAGTAGCTATCGATATTCTGCAAATTAGTTACACTATACTATTTATGATTTATGAATAATGAGAATTGTTATATATTTTATATATTTTGGTTTTTCATAATTTCTTGTTATAATGGAGAGTGGTCCTTGTGTATTTGCATGTCTGAGATGAATTGCATTTCCATGTTTAATTTAACCCTTTTTCAATATGGCAAAATTTTACAAATTAAATTTGCAGAATATGGTATGTTTAATTATTATATACTATCTTGACAATTTAAATACGTTTATAAAAATTAAATAACAAACTACAAGTAACTTGCACATATATGTATAAAATAACATACAGTCTAATTTAAGAACTGTTTAAACTGTAAATACAAAATTTAAAATTTAGTAAAAATATCAACGTTGTACACACATACATGCACAGCACTAAATCAGTGTCAAAGGTAAACTAATAAGTTTTGCTTGGGAAAAAAAGTCTACATGGAAAATTAAATATAATCTTTCTAATATATAAATATAAACAACATTTTTAACTTTCAACAATTGGCAACAAATTAATTAAGTCTCTTTAAATGTATAAGTATATACACTTTCAAGCTATGATTATCATAGTATAAAATTGAAATACAGTAATTTTAACAACCATGGAATTTTTAAAAAGAGAATGGAGCTAGCTAGGAAGGAAGGAATTGAAGCACATGGTGTGATATTTATTATGAGAATTAATTGTGAGGCTCACGACACCTATGGGCAAAGGGACCATATTTGCATGGCGTCCTATTCTCTGCCAACACAATACGGCAACAAGAGGGACTTTTGCTTAACCATTCAACAATGATGCGTTTCGATTCATTATTGCTCTTTGCTTAGATTATTGTTGTCAGCATTCATACTTGATAGCAACCTTACCCATCTCTTCTTCTTTTTCTTACAAGATTTTTTCTTCCTTTTTATTTTGTTATAGCTGCCTATATGATATTTTATATATTTATAGACAAAAGCGTATTTGGTGTTATAACTTTTATATTAGGTTTCAGTTTGGTCTATTAATGTTAGAAAATATATATATGTTCATTTTTCTAATCTTAACACCATTAGTCTGATCAATTTTTCACACCAATAATTATTATTTTTAAAAAGGGTTAAGATATAATCCTACCCGTGAATTATTTACTATATCCCATGTGCATTTGAAACCAGTGCAACCGGTAGAACAAACTTGGTCGTCATGCATGCATAATGAAGTAGTGGATGTTAGCCTTGCTTAATAGATATGACATTTTTGCTTCATTTAGAGTGTTCATATATATTTGGTGTGCCTGCCAAATAAATTTTTTTGTGTCAAATGTGCATGAAGAATCCTTCATGAATTGCATCTTAACACTTTTTTAAAAAAAAACACTAAACTTAATATGTTAGCATTTGAAAGTATTTTCTTAATATTTTTTATGGTTAATGGAACTAAGGATGTTAGGATCAGAGAACCGAAAACAAACTTTATAAAATTAAGAAATCAAAATAAACCATAAGCAAAATAAAAGGATCAGAAATATACTTTGGCTTATTTAATACTTTTAAATCGTATTCGTACCAAACCTGAATAAAAATAATTAATTCTCTTAACGTAATGTTATTTCATCCAGAAAATAAACTTACAATTTTATATAGCGGGTAATCAATTCCCTCCCACTCGATACAACCACCATTCATTCTACATCAGGTTTTCTTTCTCTGCAATAACTGTGCCATTCATTCATTCATAATACCGAAAAGAAGAAGAAGAAGAAGTGGGGTGAGCTGCTTCAGTCACTATCAATAAAGTATGTGAGAGGGATAGGTGAAGAATTAATGGTTTATTGAATTGTATATACACGAAGTCAAAAAAACATTGGCAAAAAAAAAAGTTTTAAAAAAACACTATTATTAATTATTTTTCTGAAAATTAATAACTATGAAACAACAGTGTATTTTTAGTCTTTTCAACTCTACACAATGTTTGATTTTGATCCCTAGCATCGTTAATTAAAAAAAAAAAGAACATTTACAACTTTAAATGTAGACAAAACAAGTTTAAATACTAACATATTAATCGAGTTTAATTTTTAAAAAAATAATAATTGTTTATCAAACATTTATCATTTTAGACTATTACTGAGTTAGAGAATTGAAAAAATCCTTTGTAAAATTAAGAGGTGAAACTAAAACTTTGTGTAAAATTTAAGGGGGGAAAAACTCTTTTGTCTAATAATGAAAGTTACTTCAATGAATTAGGATGGAAGCACCAATATTTAACCAATTTTAAGAGGAAACCTATTCACTTTCCACCAGCCATTGAGCTAAAGAATGTTTATGAAATTAATATAATCTCAATGCCAGTCTATAGGTGACATTGCTTCAATGAAAGAGTCTTGAATAATCAATGTTCTTGGAGAAATATCAAGAGGGTTTGGTCTAACATAAGGAGCTAATTTCTCACAACATGATAAGTTAAAATTCAAATTCCTATCAGGAGAAGTGCCCACATTGAATACTTAATAGTCTTTTGAATATGATTACTTTCAATAAGAGAAATATATGTGCATAATAAAAAAGTATTCTTTGCAAAACTTTTCAGAGCCAAGAGAGACCTTTAACGCCAAACTTCAATAAATGTTTTATCATCGTCATACCCATATAAACATTTGGTGAGCTTTCGCAATACTAGTACTCCGTCTAGTTTAATTTATAAGCTTCAAATTTTAGGAAGAGTGTAGTCCATGTTATAAACTTCAATTTAATATTTGTCTTAACATTTAATGTATTTTTTTTCAATTTTACTCTTAATTATTTATTCCCTCTTGTTTACCATAATTTCTCTTATCACATTTTTCTATACATTCTGTTTTATCCTTTTTCTTATATTATTATAAGTGTATATTTACAAGTAAAAGTATATTTCTAACTTATTTATTACTTTTAACTAATTGTTCGTTATCCATGAATTGGTTATTTGAAGTTTACTACCAATACCACCACTGCTTAAGTATACCAAAGTACTATGATCTCCTTAAAATACTCCTATAAAACATTATACTATATATTGATTTATAAGCTAAAAATTTGGTTGGGCAAAAATGATAAATATGAAAGATAAAGTGCATTGAAATATAATACTTGGGATTAAATCTAACCTCCAACTAATTCTTATATTAAAAAACAAAAGGAGAAATTATCATAACTTGATAGAATTGGTAGTATGAATACATAAGTGCCCCGTACGGTAGAAAGATATTTTAATAAAAGTTGGTGGAAATTAAAAGAAAGAAAGAGAAGAAAAGAAATCCCGGCCATATATATACAACCCCACCACAACAACAAATTTTATTCTAGTGAGGCCAGTTATATGAATCCCCCGTGCTATTGTACTGTCCAACCGTATACATAATGAGATGAAAAATATGATATTCAATAAGATATTTAAGTGGATTAGTTTATTCATCTCAAATAATAGTTTATTGAGAGAGGATTCCTCATCCAACTTAGGTACCTGTCACGAACATATTGGAGGGTCCTATGCCAAAACCAAACAGCAACAAGGGGGATCTTCCTTTTACCATTCACCGGTGATGAGATTTCCCTAAACAGTAATTGCATAGAGCTCTCTCACACATGTTGAGAACATTATTATTAATAATTGAAAGTGACTACTCCTTTTCTTGCTCTTCTTGCGGCAATAATGCAAATCTTTCTTAAAGATTTTTCTTTCCCAGCACTACCTAGCTATTCTATGTAAATATGATTCAGTTGGGGCCAAACAATAAAAGTTTTTTTTTGGGGGGGGGGTTGTAATGCTCTAGTCATTATCGATAAAGTTCATGAGAGAGAGATCGATAGGCCAAAAATTAATAGCTTTACTTAATGGGTCTAAAAGAGCCAACAAACAAAATGAAAGAAAAAGAAATTAAGGGGGTGAAAAAAAAAAGGGAATTGGATTGACAATGGAATAGAGATCAGTTGTAAAGTAAATTAGATTTGGTGTAACTATGATTATTAGGAAAAAATAATAAAATGAAAGGATCAAAATGCCGTCAATACAACAGAAACTTACCTCTTCCTCATCGTCTCTTCTCAGGCAGTGCTGCCCGTACAAGAATCAAATTCAAAACCAAAACCGTAATTAGAGCTTCGTAGAAAATTGGTCGAAGACAAATCCATCCGTACACACATGGCATGCGTCATTTGTTTTAATCGATATATGGTATTCTGGTCTTTTCATCTCCTCTTCCCTCCGTTGACAAGCAAAACGTACTAAAACTTGTAATTTAGTTACTATGACAAAGAAAAATTAGTTAAATTAGTTATTCTTCTGATCTTATTTATAAGTTACTTTTAGCATATTTCATACGCGCCAAGAAAAAACCTTGAATCATTAACTCTCATTTAAAATTCAACAATTTTTTAATTTTATCCCCGTTTAATATACATGATACCTCAAATAAATAAAATTGACACAATAATAAATAAAAAATAAAATTGTACATTCACACAAAAAATTTCTCTCAGTACCCTATAAATAGAACAAAAAAATATCTTCTCTCTCTGCTCTATAAACAGGACCAGAGGAGTATTTGTTAAAAATGTATGCTGATTTTTCTAAAATTACTTTCTCCAATCATTTGCATCTGACCTCTCATTGCTGAAAATACCATTCATTAACATATGCAATCAACCTGAATATAGTTTAGAACAAAAATTATAAATATAAAAAATAAAATAAATTGAGATATTATATTGAGAATATTAAACACTTTAATTAATGTTTATGTTCAGGACT